ATTTGGGTGGCACACATGCACACACATGCACACACACATACACACACACACACATACCCCCATAGATGAACAAGAGAAGAGAAGAAAAAAAACCGCCGAACGAATGAGAAAGAGGATCAAAGTGAATAAGAAGAAGACGATGATGGCAAAGAAGCGTAACAACTAAGGAAGCTTCTTGGTGGCTCAAATTCAGAAGTGAAAAAGCAAAAAAAGAAAGGAGAGAGAGAGAAAGTGGGGCAACTAAAAAGAGAAAAAGGGAGAGAGAGAGAGAGAGTTAAGATGTAAATTCTGAGACATCGCCAAATAAACAAGATATCCATAGATGGATGAATAAGTAGATTATCTATTTATATACTCAATTAGCTTGTTATCATGCATTCGATAATGAAAATGGGAGTCAAAAATCTCATATACAACTAGCATAGGAGGGTTATGAGTGACAAGAGCTAACCAGTAGAACTTCAGAAATGATGTAGTAGAGAGAAGACATTAATAACCCAGTCGTTTATTGGAGCAAAGAAGAAGAGGAAGAAGAAGAAGCAAAAAAAATAAAAAGAGTTTGTGTTAGAAGAGATGAAGCAAGAAGCTGAATAAGTCCATTGGGTTTGGTTGAGATGGCTGTTGAGTATGCTGGAGATGTTGCTTCATGAATCTCATTTATCATTTTTATGTCCAGTTGTCATTTGAGAACAAACAATTCGTTCAAAAAACGAATGTGCTGACTGAGGACATTCATCAGATGAGAAGACAGCGAGAGAGAGACAGAGAGACAGATTGAGATGAAGAAGTACGCATCCTTCAATGATAATATGTGATTGAAATGGGCATATTACATTAACTACAAATTATAACGCATAGTTAGCAGAGGAGAAGGAGGAGAAGCTGGACCGAGAGAAGCTGGACCGATATGAAAGCCATTTTTATGAATAACCAACAACAGCTGGAGTTAAAGCCAATTGGAGAAAAAAGCTGTTTGAATGGAAGATATTTGTAAACTATTTACTGGTCAACACAAAGCTTATGATGCAGAAGAGAAGAGGAAACGTGTGTGCAAAAATGAATTTCAATGACAAGAGAGGGAGGGAGAGAGAGAGAGGGAAAGATAGAGAGAGAGAGACTAGCATTCGAAGCTATGATGCTTGATTCTGAGATCTATCAGAATCTTCAAATTGACGACATGATAGGAATATAGCATAGATGAGATGAAATGGAAAAGAAAACAATGCAGAAGATGAAGAAAACAGAAGCTTAGGCCTAAAGAAGATTATTCGTCGGCTGGAGGTCAGACTCTCTGGATCCCGTTCTGCCGGTATTCTGTTTCATACAGCCAGCAGAAGATTGAATCACTCGCAGCCCAAGCTAAGGCAGCAGGCTATATGACCTCCAGAAGTAACAGAATCATAATCATTTATGTAAACATGTTTTTTCTTAATATAGTTTAAGCTGCGAAGCTTGTTTATAATGAAAAAACATGGAACGAATGAGTTTACAAAAAAGATTTTCAAGTCATTTTACAGCAGGGTACTACTGAATGACACCTAATCCATCATATTCAGCCTGCTTGAGAAATCAGTAGAACGAAGAAAAAAAGTTGAATATGAAGAGAGATATGAGTAGCTGAATGAATGAGTTGCAGAAGCAGATGGGAGGATGAGAAGAAGGGGCTTCTAAGAAACTTATCACACAGGCCAAAATAAAAAAGAAGTCAAAAAAAATGTTTAATAAAGCACAAAAGCGATGTACTGATAGAGATGGACGCAACATCATCATCCCAAGAGATAGATTGTCGGAAAATTAAAAGATGACAGCTACGTGTGACTTTTCTATGAAGTATATAATGGTAATTGACCTCTCTCTAATATAATATACAACAGCTGACTCGTTTGTGTTCAATACTTTCGTGTCCTTTTACCTTTTCCGACATTTCTATATAAACTATGTGGGCACGATATGAAGGGTAATAATTCAAATAGTTTAGTGAGCTGGAATGCTCTAATTTCAAAAGTTAATTATTTGATTTATCATCTATTATGACGGATGTAAACGAAATGAGCGAACTAAGAGAGATAGATAGAGAGAGAGAGAGAGAGAGAGGATGACATGGAGATGGAGATGGAAGGGAAGGTGAATGACGAGAAAGACAAAAGGAGAAGATGAGCTATGTGTGTATGGGTATGTATGTGTGTGTGTGTGTGTGTTTGAAACTTGCATAATACAAATCAAAAAAGGCCAATGTCGTCATTGGGATTGCGGAAGAAAAACAGAAAACGCATAAGATTCCCAGTTCGGTTAGATGTGCTAGGGGGGGCCTGAAGTGGGATGAAAGTCGAACTGCTTGATTTATGATTGAATAACGGATGATTAAAACCATTAAATCATGAAAAGAGATGACAAAGAAATTGAAGAAAAAGCTGCAATAGCTGACCTGTATCAAGCCGTCAGACCATAATAAAACATCTGCCATAAGGCGACTAAATATGGAAAGTGGTGAAAATCAATTAGGCTAATGTAAAGATCATTCAGAGAAACATGTCTCTGTCCACCCACAACTTGCTCACTCTCTCATCATTGCTCTATCTATATTGCCTTATTCGTCATTTTTTTGTGGTGAAGGACAAAAAATAAAAATGAAGGAGGAAAAGCTGGAGATGAGAGGTCGGTGGAATGACAAATGATCTGTTGCACTTCATTGGCTTTTCAGCCGATTTTTAAAGTTAAAATGAACACATATAGTTATGCATTCATCCTGAAAACCAGATGAAAAAGGATAAAACTTAGTGACAAGTATGCAAATGAACTTGATGGGACTAAGATTAGCAAATCCTTATATGAGCCTTATGAGGAATGAAAGCCGACCATCACTCTCTGGGGGGATTAAGCTGAGATCACTTTGTTTGCCGAAGTGACTTCAGATCCGATGGGTCATTAGAGTAACCCTTTCAGTGAAGCTTAATTTAGAATTTGAAAATGATAGTTTAATAGTAATAGAACATTCTAAATAACAAGAAGATACGAAAGCAGGAAACAGAGACCTAAAGAACATCAAAGTAATAGTAGTGCCCATGGATTATTCAGTCATTCATAGCTCAATCTGACGATTGATGTTCATACAGGACTATTCCATTACAATTTCTCACGACACTGAAGTCATCGAAAGTAGCAAATGATGCACACATCACACGGTTGCTGAACATCATCAGAAAGTTCGAGAATATTGCGACCGTTCTGAGTGTCTACGAGAAGTAGTGAATGCGACCGCTCACAGCGTTCATGAATGTTCAAAGTGACGCGCATGGAAATTGAGCAATTTTACGTGAGCTTACGTGGGATTTGAATATTCTCACGTGATCATCAAACAGCTACTACTACACTATAGCCAATGAATTTAAACATGAAACAAACAAAAGGTCAGCTATGTGAAACAAAAGCAGTGAACAACAGCGGAGCACACATGGTAACATCAAGATAGCTTAAGTGATCAGACATAGAGCGCACTGCCGAAACAGGGTGAGTTGGGAACATGAAGGAATTAAACGAATATTGCGCAAGAAGCGAAATCACATTCTTAAAAGATTCAGATGATAAATGAGTTTTGTAAGTCATGAGAACGTCGATCAAACTATCAAATCCCACCCAAATCTGACTGTCACTACAACTCATTCATTAAATGCAATGAAAGTCTTGAACTAGCTGAGAATAGTGGAAAAGTTAGAAAGGAGGAAAAGAAGAAGAAGAACCTTCCCAAATTGAAGGGCTCTTTCCTGAAGAGCAATTTTAATTTTTCAGTTCGCATTAGCAGATTTACCGAACAGCAATTCAATGTATTATGGAGCTGACACGAAGACGACAATGACCGGAAGAACTGCGAATATATGCAAATGAGTGTTGGTGCGAGAGAGATGTCGTCAGAAGGCTACCAAAATGAGAAATCCAGATGGAGAATGTGGATAAATAAGAGAGGAGGAATGAAGAGGAACCTCTTTACAATTCCGATCTTAGCTTTCCATGGCTCATCAGACACATTCAAATGTTTCAAGAAACTAAATCAAAACTGTAGATAAGATGAAATGAGACTGAAATTTGTGTGAACATCTTAATTTGAAGTGACGGATTCAGAAGCACTTTCCATATGTGAGCCATTTTGCGTAATCTTGATTTTGGGCGATCAAAGAGACGCTGGTTGCCCAACATCTGGTTGAAAGTTCATTGCAGAAGCAAATAGTTATGAAGTATAAACAGAGAGAAAACGGTTAAAAAATAGTTTACAAGAATCATTCTGGAAAGCAGACGCGTACGGTACTTGACAATGGTAGGAGTCAACGAAATCAAATTCATAAGACAAGCGCTTGGATTATCGTCTAGTAGCTCGGTAATTAGTTAAAAGACACTGAAGAAGAGATCAGCGAGCTGAATAGATTGACAGACGTTCAGAGCAGCTCAAAAAGGAAAGTCAATGGATTGGAAATACAATAAGACCAATTAAAGAGCGGCAAATCATGAAAGGGTTGATGATCGATTGACACCTGTTTACTGGAGCTATTCCTGATAGAGCGCGGAGACATGCAAACAAAAAAACAAAACTCACATTTGAGTTCTTCTTCGTCTCCTTCAACAGCAGTTATGATTAGATGGGGCTGTCTTGCATTGAACGACAATGTTCGGCATCTTTATAAGCGTGCCTGGTACTCAGATATGTAAATTAGGCGACGTCTTTCCTCCTCCCAAAGGCTACAAATCAAACCATTTGAATCTTCTGAATAGAAAGCAGGAGATGCTTGTTGCCCAACCTAAATACTCCTTGCATAACAACTTGTGCGTTCGTCTATCTCTTCTTCACAAAGTATTCTCATCTCACTTTCAGACCGAAGAAAGTTTTAGAAACAATTTATTGCATGAGAATCATCCTGAAGTACAAACAAGTGATAAAACTTGAGAAATGTTAAAGTGAGTATGTGAGTTGAGAGAAATCAATAAGATCAAAAATTAGCAAATTGTTACTTTTATAATTCAAAATCCAAGCCTTTCTCACTGAAAAACTTTTCGACCAGATTCTTGTCGACGATAGACTCCAACAGTTCGTTACCGTCGTCTTTTCGTCTCATTCTGCAATAGAGTACAAATCAGTTTGAGTAGAAGAAAGAAGTCACTTACATGATGATCTTGTGATCCTTCAGTTCAACGAGAATCTGTCTTAAGGCGGCATCACTTGAAACCAGGAACTTAGACCTGAAATGACTGATGCACACACAGGTAAGAGAGTCTCTTACCTGGCTTCTTCTGAGAGATCAAAAAAGGCTACGGCGTGTTTAGATGCATAAGTCATGCAGAAGAAAACTCTGAAAATCTCTTTAGCATTTTTGTTCAGAGATTCCCAGAAGACATCCAAAGATGAGATCGTGTGAGTCTAAAAACGGAAGATCAGTTAGAAGGAATTAATAAACGCCTACATATTGGCTGCTCTTGCTGTCAAAGCCTAGCAGTTTGGATTGTCCAGCAATCAGTTCAGAGATAGGAACTTCGAAGGTGTTCACATTTATGAAAACCCAATTGAATTCAGTGATTTGCCTCTAGAACGAGATAGGATGAGCATAAACTGAGCTTTGGTACGAACCGAGTTCCAGAGAGAGCATGCATTCATATGGTCAATGGTAGCAACTAATCGTATATCTGGGTTTTGGGAGAGAATTTTGAAAGCTTCTTGGTCGACGGTATCTCTACAAAGGTTTTCATATATAACATTGCAATTACTTATTGTGTCAAGTTTGAACATGAGAAGGATCGAGAAAACGAACCGATAGAGAGGACCATCGATGTTATGTATGAAGATCGTCAAACCCCTTGTGAGCTTTTGTGAGATTTGTGTTGCAAATGAGATCAGGTTTCGCTTTTTTGGAGCCTATAAGAGAGTAGTTCCCTCAGTTCTTAGAGTGTAGTTGATCACCGCAATTGATAGATGGAATGACTTCTCGATTCTGTTGAGAACTTCTCGAGTAGAACCTTCGTCACATAAACCGTCGATTTCACACACATTTTGATCTTGAAACTCAGCTATAAATTCCTTCAAGAAATTTCTTTTGGAACCGACGCCATGCATCTGAATGAGAGGTCATAAAAGCAAAAATGAAGATCACTAGTACCAAAATGTTAAAACCATTCGCTAGGTACAACCTCCAAGCACTAAAATCCTCTCGCAACTCGTCCAGTTTTTTATTAACCGATTTCGGTATGAACTTCCCTGATGTCTAGATAGAGTCGTAAACGGTTGAGAAAACCCCTAACGGATGAAAAACCTCAGCGTATTTCCCCAACTTTTCTAAGTCACATGAAGTGAACGGACTCTCTTCACTACTATCTTCATCGTCAGACAACCTGAACCAGTAATTTTTTTTTCGAGAAAAAAAACGCAACACCAACTCGTCTTTACCCTTTCTTCTTCTCCCTTTATTGAGTTGGATCATTTTGCCTTGGAGGAAATAATTGTCAGCAGCATCCATTCGGAGTTCTCCGATTTGATTTCTGAACAGAAAAGCCCGTAATGAATAGTATTCTAGTTATGAACGAACGGAAAAGCCTCGAACTCATTCTCTTTTGTGTCATTCTCGAGGGGAATAACCTTAACCACCTGAAACGGGGAACTAGTGACTTAACATGATAGTAACAAAACCTTCTTTCTTGCGTCAGCCTTCGCCCTGGGCATCTGAAACTCACACGTTGACAACTCATGAGAAAGAAAGACTGCAAGGTAGAAGAAGACAGAAACATAATGGAAGAACAAGCTGATGCAGAGTAAAACCACATTTATCCCATTCAAAGCATACATACATTCCAGGTAATAAATAGTCAGTCATTATGAAGAATCACAGATAGTTAAATGTGTTAAATTAGCGAGATTGTGGATAATTTACTTCAACAATGACCATTTGAGTTGTTCCTTGGCTGATGATACGAAAGAAAGCCCAACTTGAGATAACGTTTGATCGGGGAATGAGATTTCGTCTCCCTTCAAAGCACACCTTGACACAACTGCTTGAGAGTCAGTTTCTTGGATAATTCTAGAGCAACAGAGATTGAGATTAAGACATCAAAGTGTAACTAACCCATCATCACATATTTCGTCAAGGATTAAGATACAAGTGTCCATGTTCTCTAGAAGACTTTTCTTCTCCACATTCTTTCGCAAAACAGTTGAGATGGAATCATACAAACAACTAAGTAAAGAATCCAAAATCAACTCGTTCTCACGAGGGCTACCCAGAACATATAAATTCCTTGAATGTAAAGTGAATGATCACATGACAGTATGATAGAACTTACAAATCCACATTAGATCTATAAACACAGGTTACTCCGTCGAGTAAGAGTATTTCTGCTGAAATCAATATCATTCATGATGGCTGCTAAGACTTCATGACTTACATGAAGCATTACGGTGAGTCTTTTGGAACATGCTCTTTTCAAAAGCTTTCTGTTCTTTAGTGGTTCCGAAAGTTTCCTTGTCGTAATACTGTAAGCTTTGTAGAATTAGGATGAAACGTGGATATTCAACCGACCTTGGCAATGATTCTGTTACCATCTTGATCGAGGATCACGATCCCCTTCACACTATACAGAGAAGTTGAGTCCTGCAAAAGAATAATTCAGTTCAGAGAAGATTTGAACATAAAGTTCAACGAAAAGTTCAAAAGTAACTAACATTGTCGAAATCCGCCATACTCTTTGATCGTAGTTCTACCCTGAAAGAAATACAAAAAAAATTATTGAATTCCATGCTAAACGCTAAGAGTATATGCAGCATATAGGAAACATGAAGTAGATTGTCAAAGTCATACATATGAGGTTACATTGACTACGGACATGCATACGGTATTTAAATTTTGTCAGTCAACAACATATTTTCAGTGAAAATTAGACATTTGCCTAATTTTGCTGTACAGGCCTCTATGTCAGACGTGGTCGCTATATCGTAGTCCTTTAATTTCGCATTGGAGCGCACTTCTGGAACCCCATTACATTTGCAGAGCGAATGTTTAAAAATGAAAGAAAAATATTTTTAGAAAACACAAACTGATGAAGCATAGATGATATTGATTTTATTGGGAAACTAAACATATATATTGTTGCACAATGTGATCACTGCATTGCGTTCTCAGGACGTCTTGCTTAGTAATCCGTTTGTTGATGAAGAGGAGAGGAGAGGAAGCTGTAGTATCGAAATCTCCATATAACGCTCTTTTCTGAAGACATTCAACCATTTCCTAAGATTACAAGACTATTTTGAATTGACATCTGTCAATTTTGCATTCCTTTGCATCTTAAATTCGTATCGTTTTGTCTGAGAATGTCTGGTACAACGGGGTGAAAAGAAAGAGAAGATTGTCTTCACTTGTAGTGTTGCTACACCAACCCACTGTTCAGTCTACCTGGGCATTCCGCTCTGGTAATTGAGACAAGTGTCTATGTTTTCACCTTAACTTACATGGTCTAATAACAAGTTTTTGTAATTCCCAAAGCTAATCTCTCGCTCCTTTGATTTTCAGTTTTGTAACTTTTCAGATTTCAGAAAATCACGAAGAATGTGGTTCAATTTCGGTCATACTTAGTGCAGAGAGTTGATAAGACTTTTATGGAAGATTGGAAATGTTGGACAAAAAGCCGCTACGATCTGCTGAGTGAGTTCAAAATGTTCCTCTGTAATTAAGTTCTTTTTTATTTTATGACTTACCTCTTTATGTTCTTTTTCCATTTTAGTACTGTGGTTTATAAATGCTATCAAAGATCAGTTGAACCAAATGAACTGAGAACTGTCAAGGACGAGATCTTCTACTCCACATTCAAGCTCTTATTCTTCTTCTCCTTTTTTTATGAAAATATCGTCCACAGCATTTGGTCCTCAAAAAGTTCACACAGATGTCCACTCACATCACTATTCACTCCAGAACTTTCTACACACTTCAACAGACGGAACCTTTTGCAGCAGCTTCGCAGCACTTCCTTCACACATCAAGAACGTACAGTTCCACGTCCCAAAATCACACAAATTCTCTTTCGCACTGGGCGTGTTCATCATTGCGTTTGATGGATTCGGATATTGTAGGAAAAAAGCTGATGAGTAAGCCAATTGGGCTCTTAGTTAGAGGAGAAAAAAAAAGAAGAAAAAAAAAACGTTTTTCATGCTGCAATATTTGCCTTGTCGCCCATTGCAAACGGCAAGCCATGTTTTTCATTAAACTATGATCGGGCCGTAAATGGACGTATATTTTTGCGTTGGAAAATGTCAGTCAGAGGTTTGGATGGCAGGATCCGCAAGTTCATTATGCTTCTGATCTTCGAACGTCACAATCTCAACGAATGGCTGCATTCCCCAGAAATCCGTGAATCCGCCCTTTAATCTTTGACCTAATAGCCATTTGTGATCATTAACTTCCTTTTATGACATCTCTTGCTACACCAAAAGATGTCCCCCACCCCCCTTCTTTCCTCGTAAGCATTTTGTCGTCGATCCTTTGCATTCACATATGTTACGGCTTCTTGTGTACTGGAAACAAAAACAAATTCCACAAAAATATATTCCTTTTCAGGCACGAATGTACAATGGAGCTGGCTTCTCGTCGTCTTCTGTGCCCAGCAAGCAGGTGTGTTAATCATCCAACCCCTATAAATCAATGTTCGATTAACATGCTTCTCATTCGTTATTCTATCCCCTATCTGTACTTTGTAAGAGCGGATGTGTATGAGGTCTCTCCCATCCAACAACTGTCCTGCCTTTTTTGATGGAATTCCTAATAATATCAATCATCTTTACACTGCTGCTTATCTCCTTTCTTACAGTTTTTATGTTTTTTTAAAGACGGCTATCTTTGCTATAACACTGGCAACTGCAGAATCAAGAAATTGTTTTGAATTTTGCTGCATCTCTCTCTTTCTCGCTTCCTTCATGTAGATTTGCGTGTGCAGATTTTTAACAAAAATCTCTTCCTCTCTCATTCTCACCCTCTCGCCTCGTGTGTTATGTGCATGATCACTCCACCCATGTCTCTCGCAAAGGGCAATTCGAAATCTTTACATCGTTTGACATTTTGTCCGGGTGGCTGCCGTTCTCTATTTGAAATTTCGAAATAAAGAGATATATACGTGAGAGTAAGGAGATAGGTGGGAGAGTAACACAGAGAGAGAGAGAGAGTTAGACATGCTAAAGAGATAGGATTTCTTTCAAACTCATTCTCATGATCGTCGTTATTTTTGTGTGCTGCAAGCCTACCTAATCGCATAATTACCGATTGTCTTTTCTAGAACGATCACATCCAATCATCATTTCCAAAAAAAGGATATTTGATTGCTGTTGTCTCCTAAGAGAGTAGACGTCTTCACCCAACAAGCAATTGATTTCTTTTGTTAACCCCCTCCCCCCCCCACCAACACTTTTCTTATGAAATGATAAAAAGGGCATAAAGTTTTCGAGAGCAGATCATAAAACCATCTTCACCATTCGCGTCTATTAATTGTTACATTTCCATTCGATGTACTCAACACTTGCCATCTGTCAAGTCGCTCAATTTTTTCGTTTCTAAACTTTACTGGAATTTTTTCTGTTTCGAGAAAAAACTGATGCCCTTTGTCTCTCCCCTCTCTCTCTCGTTCTCTTGGTTTACAACTTGCAGGCTGTGACGATGCTTTCTCTAGCTTTATCTCTCGCGTGTCTGCTGATATCACTAAGAAACGTCCTCTGGAGTTTATGATCGAAATAAAATAAAATTATCATTTCCGTTTTCGGTTTTTTTCTGCCGATGTGCATCTGAAGTCCCCCCACTCATTTATTTGCCGTATTGCCACTGTCTTCAGCCCACAAACGACTTTCCCACACCCATCCCCCCTCTCTCACTCTCACTCTCTCTCTTTCTATATTTATTTATCTTTTTTGATTTTTTACGTGCTCCTTGTAGTGTGGGTCGTTTTGTTTTCTTCTTTTCTCACATCTTTTTGAAACTTCTCTGATGTAAGCGATAACATTACCAGTTGCACATCAGGTTCCGGCTCCATCAACAATCCTCAGCCACGAAATTCTTGACAAAAGGTGACGCTGCTGCTTAATGTCCACTAAGAACTAAGATCTTTCATCTGATCAAAATCAAATCATGGCTAAGTTTGTAAGTATTTACTCGCAGAATATGTTTTCCGGCTGTTGTTCGTGTTTGTTAATGAATATTCGCCTTCACATAACACCGATGTTTAATGTTCAAATGAATGTTCGTACACCCAGATGTGTCTCTTACCAGAAGTTCATTCTGAAGTTTCTTACCTTGCTTAACGAACTCATTGTCTCTTGTATATGTCATGTTATCAACCTTTCATACGTTTATACTTCGCCAGAGCCTTACTCCATGCTCCTCGCGTCTTGCTGACTTCGATTGCTTTTTGTGCTTTGTATGCTTTCATTTCTGGAAAATTGGTAAAGTTAATGCTTTTATTGATATTTTCTGAAAATTCTGATCTGCTGGAAGAAGCTCTTTACCTTCCAACGCAATCGTTTGTTTGTATTGAAGGATTAATTTTTTGCGTCAGAAAATTCGTCAATCTCCGTTTCCACGTTGTCCTCAAACTTCGATGTCTTTTCGTCTCAACTGTTCACATCTAACTCACCTCCCTCATACCTTTCTTATCAATTTTGTCATTTTCAGATGTCGACTCCTTTTACGTCCGCTCAGTCGGCGGCTCACTCAGAACTCACACGTGAGTCTTTTACCTTTCTTGTTACACACCTTTCTATTCAAGCGAAAAACGATTATAACACAATTTCTTTTTATATTGTTTCAAGCTGACAAAACCTTGTTTCCAGTAAATGCGATCGGTGAAATTTTGGATCGAAAGACTTCCGTCGCCCAAATTATGTCGCGGACTGTGGAGAACCTGAACCATGCGTATGAATCGAGGGATTCTGCTCCAGAAGAGCATATTTATAATCTTTTTAAGATGCCAGATCGGGAAGAAGCGAGTATTACGAAGCTAATCAAGGTTGTACTAGTAGTCGCTAACCATTTCAGTAACGAAGCTGTTTAAGGTTTTAAAGTCTTTTGGTTTACGGGAATCGGACCCTCGGCTGAAACAGACGATGGAAAAGATTAAGAAGATGGAAGATGAAGATGATGATGCGAGAAATTTTACTTTGGATAAAGAGTCGTTCAAAGAGTTAGAATCAGCATCTTGTATTCCTAAATTCAATTGTGGCTCATTCAGGTGCATTCATCCTTCTGTTCAACTCATTTCTCAAGCATTACGAAACAATCTCATCATCCCATCTTGGGGAGAATTTTGTGCAAAAATTAGAGATCTCTTTGAGGAGGTGAGTAGTACATCATTTGTCATCTGAAAATAATGAATCCATTGCGTTCAGAGCCGATGTGAAACGTCTGGTGAAGTTGCCACATACATTCCACAGCTGGCTCGTCAAGGCCCCGAAATTTGGGGAATGTCTATATGTACCATAGATGGACAACGAGTGTCTTTCGGTGATGCTCGATACAACTTTTGTGTTCAAAGTGTTAGCAAAGTATGAAACTGCTTGTGAGCGTTAACAATTGAGTTTTGTGCTTCAGGCTTTCAACTATGCGATTGTGTCTTCGGACTTAGGAGCTGATTTCGTTCACTCGTATGTAGGACATGAGCCTAGTGGACGTCTCTTTAACGAGATCTGCTTAGATCCCAATGGTTGGCTACTTCATGAAGTTCTGTCTGTTACATTGCTTTTTTTCAGGAAAGCCCCACAATCCTATGATTAATGCTGGAGCTATCATCGTGACTTCCTTGATAAGAAATAATCTATCAATGGCAGACAGATTTGATTTTGTGCTTGCCGAATATAGAAAACTGGCTGGCGGAGAACATGTTGGCTTTAATAATGCAACGTAATTCTCTTTTTAGAATTGTTTTGTGTAATAGTTTTTATAGGTTCTTATCGGAACGTGATACTGCTGATCGAAACTATGCCCTTTCTTATTACATGAAGGAAAATAAGTGTTTCCCTCCTGGAACTCAGGTTTTCAATTTTTGGGTTGGTCGACCAAATTCCGAGACGAACATATTATAGGGACTACGGGAGGAACTCGATTTTTATTTCCAACTTTGCTCCTTAGAAACAAATTGCGAAACTGCTGCTGTTATGGCAGCCACGTTGGCTAATGGGGGTATGGATACTCTCTCGAATGGGTTATTTCGTGTTTTTCAGGTGTTTGTCCATTGACTGATGAATTATGCATTCATCCTCGGCCATGTAGAGATGTCCTCTCACTTATGTATTCTTGCGGAATGTATGACTATTCGGGAAAATTCGCCTTCCAGGTTTTTCTATTCATAAAGGACTATTTGAAAACGAAATCTAGGTTGGGCTTCCTGCTAAGTCAGGCGTTTCTGGAGTGATGATCGTTGTGGTCCCTAACTTGATGGGTATCGCATTGTTTTCTCCAAGATTGGATAAGATGGGAAATAGTGCAAGAGGAGTCGCATTCTGTCAGGTTTGAGAGGGATCGGAAATAATGAGCAGTAAGATTGTTGTTGTTTAGAAGTTAATTGACACCTTCAACTTCCACAACTATGATAGTTTGCTGCATGCTGACTCCAAGAAATTAGATCCCCGACGAAGATTGGGTAATAGAGACACTGAGCTTGTTGTGAGTCTCCTATTCTCTGCAAAGAATGGTGATCTTGAAGCCATTAAGAGGTTGGACATCTATTTAATATGCATTTGCTATTGAATTTCTATCTAAGAATGACCATACAAGGATGTAATATGGAAGTGGCTGATTATGATGGAAGAACAGCTTTACACGTTGCCGCTGCCGAAGGAAATCTTGAAGTTTGTCGGTATTTGGTAGAACGAGCTCATGTTTGCATTAATCCTAAAGATAGGTAGGAGGTGTATAATTAAAGATTAAAAGTACAAATATCACTTTCAGATGGGGTCACACTCCAATTGATGATGCTCGTACATTCCGACATGAATTTGTACAGGAGTATTTGATGACGGCATATTGTAATGGATTACCTAATGGTATGGGCAACTTCCCCTCTCAGTGTGATACTCCGTAAGTGCATAAGGTCTTTGAACTATTAATCTTCTTATGTACATAGAGCTTCTGAATATTCTGATGGTGACCAAGGAGCTGCAGACACTGAAGAGGAAATCAACGTGATAACTGTGAGCGAAGCGGATTCATCTATAATTCTGGAAACACCGACTATCAACTTACCAGAGAATACATCTTTCGGTCAAACAATTAAGAAAGGTCCCGCTCGCATATGGAATGGTAGGAAGCTATTATCGACGACAGAGGAGGAAGATATTAAAGAGGATGGAGATGTTTAAGATCATCCCATCAAGTTTATTAGGCTTTTCTAGATTCATGTAGGCATTTAAAAGCTATTGCCTTCTCTCTCATAATAATTATTCCTTTTCTACTTCACTTAGATCAGTAGTTTGCCAATGATACTGACTAATGGCTGCACTTGAAAGCTTGTGAATTATGGCAGGAGCTCTAAAGCTGAAAACTTTAAACTTGTTTGAAAGACGTCTATGCAATATACTGCATATCTGATTGTGCTAGAACACATTAACGTAACTCTTGTTAACCCCCAACCCATATCTACTTATTCCTTATTAGGTTTTGTCTTTGCACGGATCATATCTAACCGGTGTCTAAGATTGTTGTGCCTTTTAATTCCATTTTTGTGTTTCAAATCTGAGATTGTTCATGCAAATTTTTAATAAATCGTTATTCAAATGTTGTGCGCGCTCTTCTTCTCTTGACTTCTAATAAGAGCCTGAAGAGCCACGTCGGCTTCATTCATTTTGCATTGCATACTCACTACGAGCGGTTGATCACAATAGAGAGCTGATTTCCTGCTCATTCGCTCGTGCTGATTGGATTAATAATAAGCGGATATGGAAATTACACGATTTATAACCTATATTACATTCAAAATAAAACATATTCATCCATCTACGGTAAGATACAAGCAATTAGGACTTATGCGTATTGAAAAAGGGAATAAAGAGACCCGGAGGATAGAACAGAGGAGGAAAATTCAGCTAGTAAGAAAGCTTGACAAAGGTTTGAGAACATATGTTAAGACTATTGGTTTTGGACTAAATTAGTGAGAGAGAGGATCACAAAGTATATACAACAGATTCAAAAATGCAATTGAACCAACGGGGAATAGTCGTTCCCTTGAACGATGATAGCAAAAAAAAAAGAGGAATGGTAAACCGCACAGGATTATGCAGGGTAAATGAAAAGAAAAAAATTCAAAACAGACAGCATGTATATGAAACAAGTGTTACTCATTTCGATTGGGTTGCTGGCGAACAAGCCAAGTCATGCAGTGATTGCTGTGTGTGAGCAGTTAACGAGGAGAGTATTGTAGAATCCACGGGCTCCATGCAAGTTGGGCAAGTGAAAGACCGCCTACAAGCTTATGTATGAGTATCGAATTAATTCCAATAAAACTCACGTCAACAACCAATCATCAACGCATTCTTGATGGAAGAAATGCATGCAAGGGAGGTAGCGGACGTATTCTCCAACTTCGAAGTCCACCATACATATAGCACATCTGAATCAATTCGATTAGTGATTAACGAGACGGATGATCCTACTCAGTGGCTTTCATGTCAGAGCGGAAAATATCAGCGGGGATTTGTTCCAGTAGTCGTTTGACTCTGTTCTTACGAGCTTCTTCAAGCTGAAATCCAAATTGATAAGATGAAAGTTTCAATTCGTAATTCGTACCTCTTTCCCCTCAGTGTTTGCACTGCTTTGACGAGCAATATTAGCAGCATAAAGTTGGTTAACATAGGCACTCTACAAATAAAGAAGTTATGAAGGTAACGATATCATACAATCACCGAATGTTCTGACATAGTTTCCATTATAGGGTTAGAAAAACTCATTTGTGTGCCATCACCTTGTCTACAAAACGGATCGATTGTTGAATTGAGATGTAACTTTTACCTTCTTGTTCTAGATAAAGCAGTAGCGGAATGAGAACGAGAAGTGCGGGACTCTCCGCCAAATATGGTAGGAAGGCAATTACCCATTCTTACAGTAAAATAGAAATTCTCAGTGAAACAACGTATAAAACATCGATCCTTAAATTGAAAGAGTTCATTTGCGGAGTAGCGATGATGTCAATGAAACGGCATAATTAACGCGGGATCTTTAATATATATGATTCACATAAAGAAAAGGATGTAAACTAGTGTGCGTGTATGTGCGATAGTATCGTCGATAATACGAATTGACTGTTTGGGTTGAGAATATATGTATCCAAGTATGCTTTACCGCACTAACACACACTCACACACACATCCACTCACACACATTCACAGACAACAAAAATCGATAACTAGTTATGTATTTCAAACATGACATATACCAAATAAGGTATTATTATTATGATGATGACGACGATGATGATGAACATAACAATATATTCTAACTAATTCGTGACTAAATGATTCAACAACACTCTCCTAAAGCGGACTAAAAGGTTCTGAAAAAACGAAAGAGGAGACAATCACATGATCGTAGTGCTACTTGGGGCTGGTAATTCATAGACCGAATTTACGCCCGGCACCCAATACTAGGCGCTTATTTCGTTCTTTGACATTATAAAAGGCAAACTGTCATCTGCCAAAGCTTCTTCAACCTGTCAGAAGCTGCAGATTATCAAGGTCGTGAATTATGCTATGTAAAGTTAAGTATCGATTTTTAGGCGCAAGATGGGAGATGACAAGGAGTCGCTATGCACAATACACTACAGCAACAGACGAACTGTGTGCTTCTATATGATATTTGAGACAGAAAGATTGAAAAAAGAAAGAAAACGACGAAAATGGTAGTTTCAGTCGATACAATAGGAGAAAAATTTGAAAGCAGATGGCGAAAAGGTGTATTCCTTGTGTGGACTTGTTGTCCGTAAGCAGCCTTTCTCCCTCTCTCTGTTTGTCTTTTGAGGTAGTCCCGAGGCTGATAGTGTCCAATACATCACCGAATATTAGGAGAGATTAGAGAGTCAGGGAGAGAAAAAGGGACTACAGCTGAGAGCGTCTGCTTCAGGTCCTCTGATGAACCGGCCGCGCCTCTCTTCCTGTCTGACTCGGCCAAGACGCTTCGCACACCCAGCCAGTCAGTCACGAGATTTTGAAAATTGATCGCAAAAAAAGAAGAAATTCATTAAAAAAAATATAAACTTTATTATGACTTTGAAAATGAAAAATAAAATGCATTGAGAGGACTAGCATATACGCGAACACAATCGTCTTAGCTGTGTGTAACATTGATAATAGGATTTGCACAGGGCTATGAGACCACCATATATGTAGATTATTACATAACCACAATAATAAAAACAAGTAAACGAACGAATAGAAAACTATTAGAAGAGCATAATAAACAGAAGTATAGTGTGCTCAGTACGCTATATAAGGAATGGATGTATGAAGAGGGCCAGAGAGAAAGGAACTTTGAGGGGAGGGGTGATGAGTAGTCGTAGAGAGAGAAGCGCGCGCGAAATGTGTTGTTGTTAAAAAAAACAGCTTCGGCTATATTAACAAATATAATAAGTATATATGTATATATATATATATATAGTAAATGATAACATTCTTAACATGTAACAATTTGAGATATGACGGTAGCTGGCTATTCAGGCTGGCTATTCAAAAATTCTTCTATTTCGTCTAGGTCTGCTCGTAACACTGAACTATCGAACTTGTTAGGATCTTCGCCAGTTGTAGCAGCTCTTGCTCTAAGAGCGATTTGGATGTTAGTGATTTTCACAATTTTTTCTATTAACGGGGGCGTGGCTACCTTGCGGCCGGAACAGAAACTCCTCATGAACAAGACTTCATGAGTGCTGGTGGTGCATCCGCAAACGAACAGATCATTAGTTAAGACTCGGATATTAGCCAGAAATTGGATACAAATGCGGTGGAACCACGTTGAACAAGAATCACAGCGAATCTATAAATTAGGTATATTATTATACTAGACAGCTGCGGAAGATTAATACCCAAGCTAGAGAGAGTTGATCCGGATGAGAGCAATCGTCGGCACTTCCGCAACTCAGAGTGGGGTCGTGGGTAACGACTGTGTTACCTTCAGTATCTACTTCATCTTGAGCTGTATATGTTCCTACAGCAACCTGCAATCCAAAGTCATTATCTTTATACGAGGCTATTAATCCGCACCTGTCCTTTTCTTTTTCGTATTGGAACTGATTCGGTGCGTACAGCGGCAGCTGCAACCACCGCTGCCATCCTTTTGGGTCGACCTCTTTTCGCAGTTGACTGAACAATCAGAATTAGTAAGTGAGGAAAATGATTTTACTTACTGTTTTCTTGATCACGGATCTTGCTACAGCCGCTTTATTGATAGGGAAGCTTCTGGCTTTTCTTCCTTTCACAACGATGTCTTCGAAGAAATCCGGTGTTAGAATAATCTTCTTTTTCGGTCCTGCTTTTGCTTGTCGTTCTTCCTCGAGCTGGGCTTCTCTTGCGGGTCGCATGAAACTTGCGCAAACATTTCTCCTTCTTTTTCCGTTTCCAAGATAGGTATCATCATCAGAATCATAATCCTTAATAACTTGTGTTTCATTCACTATGATGACGTCGTCCATTTGATTTTCGTCTTCATCCGTCTCTCCAGTTCCGCAATTTGATCCGACATTCAGAATTGGATCCTCAACAAGAGTGGTGGGTTCTGCTACTGGAGCTGCTACTGGAGCTGCTACTGATGTTTTCGTCGGAACATCCGCAGTGTTTTCTACGACGGGTTGCATATCGACGGAAATATCCGTGCTGACGGTGGTTGAGGGGTCGTCTGGAATTTTCGAAGCTTCAACTGACTTTCTTGAATCCTGAGTCTTGTTGACGGACTTGAACGAGCGCTTCTTGTTTCGTCTCTTCTTATCAACAGCGTTTTTCAACAGAAACAGAGGACTAATCTTGCGTTTACGGCATTTGAGCTTAGGCTTCACTGGCTTAGAGGTGGTCTGCTTGGTAGACGAGTCTGCAACCGTGGCTTGGGAGGTCCAGGTGGATTTAACCGCTGGCGCCGTTGGTATAGCAAAGGTTGGATTAGCTGGTTTAGACGGCTGGGTTGTCTGGGCGTTCGGTGCAGCCACTGATTGGCTTAGAAGGGCTGAGTCCAAAAGCTGTTTAGCCAAATCGGAACTGAGAAATGCAGGTGACTTCAGCAGCTCTTGGAAGAGTGCAGGGGTGTTCAGTATGTGAAAGAAGTTCTTAGACATGGTATCCTCCTATAACAATCAATAAGTAGGCAATAAATGAATGAATAACTTACGGTAACTCTTCCTACTTGGCTCTTCACATTTCCGCTCTCGTTGAAGGCTGTAAATTGAGATTGAAACGAAAAAATAGAATTGATGTATACCATGTGGGACGTCATTCAGTTTTCTGCGTTTTTCGACTGTTTCTCCAAAAGCAAATACGTTTAGTTCAGCTGAAAATCGAATTGTTTTTGAACTCTGGATTGATTGTATTGAACTTACGTGAATGGGATCCAGACGAGTTTACAGGAACTGCATGGCTGGGAGAGATACTACTCTCTGTTCTTTGTTCTTGCGATGTACTAGCATTGAACTTTTTCTGATGCGGAACAATTGTGGGAACGTGCGAAACATCGTTTTCGTGATCCATATCTGAATAAAAAAGATTTTAGAAAAACAGAAGTAGAACTGTCTGACTAATGTCAACAACATGAGATGTTGGCATACACAGTCGACACTCAGACATACCTTGATCGAAGAACCTAAAGTCAGCTGGAATGGTTTGAGAGAATGGTGGAGATGTCTCTGTGCGTTCAGCTTTCATAATGTGTTGCCCATTAATCTACGAACAAAAGATATAAATATAGGAAGAACATATTTTGCATACAAATGGATTCCTAGAATCATCAAAGGGTCTTCCCGACGTTTCTGGCGCTTGAAATTGGAAATTCTCGAATGGTTTCGCACGTGGTGCTTTGCGTCGTTTTGGCAGTCTGACTAGAGTTGGAGTAGCATTAGGTGCATCAGGCGATGGTACTAATGCTGCACGCTCCTTCTTACGCATGGGAATATCATCAAGCCTATCCTCTCTGAAAAATTAGCGAATATAAAAATATGGAAATATGGAGACAAAAAACTCACAATGAGTCAATTTCTGATGCATTGCAGCTGGAACTAGAACTGCCACTGGGACTGGGCACAGTAGAAGCAAAGGGGAAAGCGACTTTCTTGAAATATGAATAATATATAAAATTATGTGTGTGATAATTTTCTTACTGTAGAAAAGAGATTTGGATTATAGAGATGTGGTTGAGCTAGATTGGGCAGTGATGTCTTGGCGCTGATTCCCGCATTGAGAAGCATACCAGATTGAACTTGAGCAGCTAGGACGTTACGATTGAATTGTCGAAACACATTATCCATGACGTTAGTGTATGGAGGAATTTCTTCGATAGGTTGAGGAGCTGGATGGGAGTTGAAAGCTGATAAGTATCGAAGAGCAAGCTCCGAATGACTTGTAGATGGAAGACTTGGATTGAATTGCAACGGCTGAAACAAAAATAATAATGAGTATAAGATGAATATGTATGAAACCTGAGCAGCAACATGATGATGAACCGATGAAGGAGTAGTGCTCGACATGAACGTTGTACTGGGTGGGAGGCATGATAACAGAGTGCTGGTCGTGATAGGAATGTTCGAAATAGGTATAGGAACACCTAATCCATTGAGGTCAGTAGCGTTTAAGGCACCATTAAAAACATTATTAATAGGAATATTCATGGAGAAGGCATTAGAAGCGAACTCGGCTAGAATTCTTCTTTTGTATTCTTGATCAAGTTTATCCTGAAAATAAAATAATATTAGAAATCTTATACGTGTGTTTGATTCATTATAGAATTAGAGATCCAATAGCGTAAAATGAGATTTTATATAACACACATGGCTATATTTGGAGCAAATGATGAGGAGACGTACAGATGGAAGATTTACAGACTAGTGATTGAGGTAGTATATGATGTAGAGGGCAGGGCATGTATGATGATGAAAAAAAGGAAGAAGGAGGAGGAGCAGATGAAGTAAGTGAATGGGAAGGATGCTTTTGACTGCAAGCTAATAAAACGTTTGAATAATATAATAAAGATGATATTGAAAGAAAAATGCTGCAATGGATAAGAAAATAGGAGCAATTAAGACAGCGGCGTAAGCGACTTTCATGGAGCTCAGCTGCTCAGCGCTCTGTGGGCTTCGGAGATCAAAGTAGGCGTGGCTATAACAGTGTCTGCCCATATCAATTTTCGTAATTATATGTGAATATAACGAAATCTTTACCCCATATTCAGAAAAGAACGCGTTTTTAATTATTTGATCTGTGGTGTTGAACTTGTCATATATAAGGCCAGAACTATTTGGATTCATTAATACAGCTTGCACAGCAACACACGTGATTTGAAAATCGGGGTAACTGAAATGGTGTTGGATTAACAAAATTCAATTTATAAGATCATAATAGAATGATTACTAGAGGAAAAATCACAAAATATAATTATAGATATCAACGATGGTTGTGTATGTGAATGAGATTACTCATGAGACACAAAGAGAGAGAGAGCAAGTAAGAGAAATGTAAAGAGGTACTGATGACGGGCCAGAGGAGAGCAGGGCTGCCAGAGGTGGTGGTGTGAGCAAACGGAGCAAGCAAGTGAGTGGAGTATAACTGCTTCGAGCACAAAAATTCAACATGAATATTCCATTTTGAATTCAAAATGTTTTTTTTTCTTCTTTTTGGCCTTGTGCTAGCAGTACCAGAGGACGTGGAGAACGACGAATACGACAACGACAACGACGACAACGATGACTGAATTGGATGACAGTAGCCACGAAAAATATGAAATCGATCTGACTATATGACTAAGCTGCAGGAAAGAAAGGAAAACGAAAGGAAAAGTAATAATTCATTAAACTTCGCATCTATGGTCAATGAAGTCAAGCCAATTGGCATGTGCATTTGAATAAAAAAGTAATTGAACTTTGGAAGTCATGATATAGACAAGCATGTTCTCCTCTCTCTCTGTCTCTCCTTCTCACTCAACTCAGTTTCATTCTACTACTACTGAGTTGATGCACTGCTCACACGCACCCATACATAACCACATGTACCAACAATGCTTTTATAATGTAAATTGGATTAGAGTTAGAAATGAAAATATGAGAAGCCAAAAAGGCAAGACACTCCCAGACAAATTACTTGTTTCAATTTATTTCTCTCATATAAATTTTGCATCAAAATGAAACATGAATGGAGCTGAAGGAATAAATTGAGGCAATTGGCCGGCTGCCATAACTTCAGACAAATTATGTGGAAATAAAGGAAAATGAGAGTCAGTCAGTAGTTGTCTTAACTAAAGCTCAAGTCAAGTCAAGTCAAGATAAGAGTGAGAGAGAGAGGAAGAGACTAGGGCAGGGCCAGTACGACCAACCCATTCTCTCAATGCGTGTATGTATGTGATCGCTGAAACAAGCAATAGAAGAGGAGGAGCTCCTTTTTAACAAATCGATCAGTGGATTTTTCATTACAAAACAATTCGAAACGTCAAATCTATTTTGGCACACGGGGTTGAATTGAATTAGCAGGTGACAAAGTAACAGAGAGAAGATAAGAAATTAGATAATTATTTCCATTTTCGACGTATTGGCGGGGGGCTATATGATGGTTGGTGGTGGTGATGGTGTTGGTGGTAAAAGACGAAAAAGGAGAAGAAGACGAAAAAAAAAAGAAAAAAAGAAAAAAAAAGAAAATCGGCCTATGCTGCTATTGATTGCTCAACCGGTTCGCAGGACTCTGCGCATGTGTGGCTGCATGTAATAGGCAAGGCAGACATATTAAAAAAAAATAATAATTCCCCTCTCTCTTTCATTTTTTTTATTTCGACATCTTTCTTGCCCTCTCCTTTTTTGTATCAATGGAGTGCATTACTGTGTCTTTGTGCATCACTCTCTATCTCTGACTGTCTCTTTCTCTCTCATCATTTCAATCTGATTTCACACTCTCTCACACACTCACACCCTATATGGAAGATAATGTGCATATAACTAATTTCGAAATAACCATAAAATCATGATTTGCTAAGTAACTTTATGAAAAATTTTAGTGCCAGTTTTCTAATTCAACGAAATGTAATGTTGTTAATGTGGCTAATAGATGCAGACCCTTGATAGTCTCATTGCACAATACATAAGAGAGGGACACATATACATAGATAGAGAGAGAGAGAGAGAGGTAAAGAGCTATAGAAAGAGAGACAGAGAAAGAGAGAGAGTGAAATGAAAAGACAAGCACACATTCAAAGGGATTAAGGCTCGAGACTGAGGAGCAACAAGAATGTGTTAGGATTGGCCAAAGCACATGCCAACACATGATATGCACAGAAGGAATTTGTCTGAAACAAGACTCAACTTGTTCGCATTTTTTTCTTCTTCTTTTTTCTTTTTTTTATTTCACAAAAGGTCGTTCATAAAAACGAATTTGTTGTATAAGAGCGTTGTTGAAAGAGGGAAAATGCAATTGCATTGTGTTGCGTGAGCGATTCTGTATTGTAACTGTTTGAACATCAAATCTACAGAATTTCACAAGAGTTATGTGAGAAAGAAAAACTTCAGCACAGAGACAGGGCAAATTCGAAAAATGGAAAGATCGTCTATGATGATGATGATGAGAATGAGAATGGTAGTAGTAGTAGTAGTGGTGGTTGGGAATATATGGGTGTAGGCAGTTGTGAAGATTAATATAAAGAACAAGAAGATGGAAAAGACAAAGTTGAAAAAAAAATTAAAATGTTAAGGAAATGATGATATGGCATGCTTTGGCCAAAACGTCACAAAAAAGAAGTGTTTAAGAGTAATTGATAACGACATCCAATTAAAAAAGACTTCATAACGCAGTCAATCAGACCAGTGATTGGAAAGAAAATGCAAAAACGCATGTACGGCGCGGGTGGTGAAGAGGGGGGGGGGTAAGGAAAGAGAGCTGGTTGGTTGATAGGTGAGCGAACGGTAGGTAATGAAGTGATAAATAAGAACATACATAACACAATGGATAACGTGAAGAGTGTAATAGAACTTACAGCAGCAGTCTAAACCGGCTCCGACCGGTCAAAAGGCTAAAATTGAAAAAAGATAGGTGACAAATGAAAAGCAGACCTATCATCTTCATTAGCTGATTCTCTCAATTACACTTTTGGAGAAGAAACAATTAAGTTTAGCGAAATAATTAGATCTGACTTCACGGCTATCGATCTTTTTTACTTTTTTTTTTTGTGTGTGTGTATTGGATCCACGTGATGCAATAGGAATGAAACTACGACTTGAAGAGAAAGAAGAGTTGATGGAGGGGTAGAAAGGGCTAGTAGTAGTACTACGTGGGTATAAGAGAGCGAGCGGCTGAGTTTCATTAATGACTAACATTAACTTAATCGATTCAATTCTGTCTTTTTTTTGATTGTATTCACACATATTATGGTAACAATCTTTATCTTTCTCAACAGCAGACAGGAAATATGAAAAGAACTTTTCTCAAAAAGTGATAGATGAAAGAGAGCGTGGAGACTGTTAGTCATATGGTAACACATACGCACACACATACATACACACACACAGCACGTATACCACACATGAGTGTCTCTGTCTGAAAAACGAATAAGCTCATAAAACATGGAAATTGTTTTGAAGCATAAACTCTGAACCATATCATATAAACACATAATACTGGCAAAAGAATGCTGAAAGGTAGACGACAACGAAAGCACAGGAAGATGGGTAAACGATGACAACGAGAGAGAAAGAAAGAGACGGGGGAATGCGCTAGGAGGACGACGGTGGGGAAAAGAAGAAGAAAGAAAACGAAATTAACAAACATAACATCTTATTTATATTTCTTTTATATGACAAATAGATTAAATCAAAATATATTGGTTTAAATAGTTTGTTAAAGCCTTTGGAATCAACTTCAATAATACATAGAAATGAATGCAAACCGTTTTGTACGTATTATTTTGACCTGTTTGTCAATTGTGTTGAGAATAGAAGGGGGGGGGGAGTAAGAAGGAGAAGAAGAATTCACTTCTTCTTCTTCTACTGTCTGTGACGAAATAACAGACAGCCAAAGGACAACACATGCATACACACACAACACATACACACACAATTGTATAATCGATGATTAATTTGTTCAAAAAAAAAGAAAAGAGAGAGAGAGAGAGAGAGAGAGAGTAGCATATCAAGATTCATGAATGAACTTGATGATGATGATGAAGACACCAAAACTGAATGATTGAAAAGAGAATGAAAACGATCGCTACTTTATTCCATTTGTTTATCAAATCACACACATACCCATACACATACACATAGAGAGAGAGGGAGAGAGAGAGAGAGAAAGACATTATTATAAATTTTCGTGTGAAATAAACGATGAAATGCTTGGTGTGGGATAAAAACTAAACCAGAAACGTCAATCAATGATGATGATAACATTCAGAAACTGTATATGTTCTTCCTATTTGAACTTTGAAAATAAAAAAAAAAAGAAAAAAACGGAGAAGAACAAATGGGCGCCAATAAAGAGTTTAAAAGAGCTCATGCACTTTGTATAAGCTTTAGCATTGTGAATGGCAAATGCTAATTTCGAAATGATCAGTTAGTGCCACGTATAGAGGACACTACCGTTTAGGGACAAACGAATACAAATGAAATGCATATGTATGTATGTATATGGAGTAGAGGGGTGGTTGGTGTTGGTGGCTAGCGATGGTGGTAGTGGAAGAAAGGAAAAAATTGAAATTCAGCAAGATGGCATAGCAATGAGGCAACATAGTGAGGGTACAATGAAGATTTCTATTGTATGCAGCAGCTCACTACCTCCCTTCAATTTATACATCTATGTATAAATATCTATATATGGATATACAGATTGAAGAGAGGGAGAATGAGCTGAGAATGATGATGATGACGTATGTAGGCTGTAGCTGTCTTTTTGAAAGATTTTCTCAATTGGCTCAAACATCATATTCTTAGCTATAACCATATACACACGCACATTAACACTAAACATGCTGTTATTGAGAAAGAACATAGTTTGAATGGAAAAAAAGATTACGGTAGTTCGGAAAAAAAAAGTTGGCGAACATGTGCATGAAGTCGTTGTTATCAAGGTGTTAATAAGGAAGATATGAATGTCGTTTGCTGGAAAAAGAATGAGCTAGAATGCAAAACATATACTGATTTCGTCATTATTCTCAAGAAAGCAACGTCGCTTACATGAAAAAGTTTTTTATTAGCTTTTCCCATTTGCTCTCTTAACCCCCCTCCCCTCCCCTTCTTTCGTTTGTTGCCCCCTCACTGCATTCTATCATTAGTACTGATTATCATTTGCTTTCTCAGTCTCAGAATTGCAATATATTCGGATACGTACTGATAAAGAGGGAAAAGGGAGAGCAGAAGAAACATATCGTTGCATGATTGTATGGAAATTGTCTTTGTAGGCCGCATATGTGCAAATGTGAACATGCAGAAGTAATGGCCTCACTGACCTTTTGTAGATTATAAAACTTTCTTCTAAATATTGGAAGGAGGTTCTGTTAGTTTAGCTGATAGGTGACCTATCACTTAGTTATCATTTGGACAAATGGTTACTTGTAAGTCCGTCTCTTACAGAATCACCTCCGTTTGCCCTTGCAATCTCTTGATTTTTATATTTTTTCCCCATTCTCCTCTTCTCCTTCTCCTATTCCTTTCACTTGTCCATATGAGGTATAAGGCTTGAAATCAATTAGCAGCTTCGTTTGTATGCTTTTCATAGTTCTTGATCAGCCAAGAAGACTTTGATTGTTTCTATAATCAAATCATCTGTTATTGACACGGATAGTCCGTAGATGTTCGTTTATAGCCTTCCTTATGTAAAAGACCTTTGAAATATTTGCTTAAAAACCTAGTCATCCTTAATAGGTTTTCAACGCTTCTCAGACTATACCATCCTATTAGGGCTGGCAGCTTGCTCTCTCTCTCGTCCTCTTCCTTCTTCTCTCTCTATCTCAGTTCCTAATCATAAATCTTATTCTTAGCTAATGTACAGCTCCAAGCGGTAAACTATTGCGTTATCCTTTCTTCCAGCTTCAATAGATTACTTGCCAGCTATTACTGAGCACTCTTCTCTCTCTCTCTCTCCAACTAGATCACATCTCTTATACTACCGTAATCCGTATGCTCCCCTCAAAATTGGGTTATTTTTCTTTTAATACTCAATGGGACTCAGTTTTTTTAGTTTTCCCCCCTCATGAAATTCTTTGCACGTAAACGTCTTTACATATGAGAAGCTCGTAAAGTTTGTGGATAACTCCAGGAAGAAGCTTATAGTTTAAACAAAGCCGGAATGACCATAAACGGATATGAGGTATAGACACACATTGGAAATTGCAAATGAATCATTGCTTTATGAGGCGGGTCAGGTTCTTAACTGTAACTAACATTCTTTGAGTCGTAAGAAATCGTGAGCTCAACGAAACAATCGTGGAGTGAGTGAGAGAGAGATAGATGATCACTAGTCTCTCTCTCTGCTTCTCTCTCTTTTATACTTCTTGAAGCGTTACACTTTCTGCGCAGACTGTTGTTGTTGTTTTTTGAACTGTTAGGACATATATGTTTTCGTCTGCTTATTACTCAAGCTTAGAAGTCATGTTGATCAAATGGTTATCAAGACAAACTATTCTTCCAACTAGTTCATTCTATCTCTACTGTATGTCTTGTATACATATGTATGTACAAGTCAAGAAGCTTTATAACCATATTTTCGGTTACTACTATACTGTAGACTATTAGCTTACAGAACTGCCGACTTCGGTTTAAGTACAAGACTGACAAGGAAAAACAATCAGTTGAAGTCTATGAAAGGTTTTTCTCACTTGTCACATGGCATACCTCTATTGCTTCTAACGTGATCATCATTTCATATTTCCTCTCCTTCTCTCTCACTTTCTCTCTCTGTGCGGAGTGTTCCAATGAGTTATAGAGTGATAACCATGCATGACATCATGTCTGATGAATTCCACTTTCTTCGCCTTAATGCTCATTACAAGAATATGTAACTTATCTACATCCGCCTAGGTAATACGCACATGCATTCTTTCGAAGTGGGAGAGGAAGTGAGAGAGAAAGAGAGAAAGAGCGGAAGGTAAAGAGATATCTAAAGAGAGAGAGAGAAAGAGAGAGGGAGGGGTGAACAAAGAGAGCGAAAAAATGAATTTTCCCAGAAAAAAGGGGAGAAGCTCCTTGATAAGATGCAAAACCACGATAAATTCGAATAAAGTTGAAAGTTGACTCATCATAAGTACAATAAAATTCAAATAAAATGTATGATCCTAGATGGACACGATTTCAAGTGATTAGCTTGTATCAGTACTTCCTTCGTCTACTCTGTTAGCTTGGGGTGAGGTTGAAAACCTTTTTTTCTTTTTTTTTCATTGATTCTGAAGTGGATGGTAGCTTATCATGTTGCACTACTCTGCATTTCAAAACATTATGAACATCCTAAAAGGAAAAACCAAATTCTACCCTGCTTCACCTCCACCCCTCTTTTCTCTTTTTCTTTGTTTTGAGCTGAAGTTCTGCAGCTTTTCCTGCTTTCTGCCTTTCCAACCCTCACATACCATCTTCTTGGTCTTCCTTCTTCCGCCTCTCATATTCGTCTCAAACCATACTTCCATGAATGTATCTCTCACATATACATTCTCTCTAACTCTTTCTATACATCTAACAATGATGATAGCAATGATACAGACACACATACCGTAGACGATGTCGTGTATGCTGTAGAGTTGAAGCATAGTATGTGACATACCGTATGACATAAGATGTCAAGCCACATCTGTTATCTCTTGCCCATTTGACACGAAAAATGATTAAATTCGTTGAAAATGAGAATTGACTACACAGAGAGAGAGAGAGAAAGTGGTAAAGAGAGAGAGCGAGATAGATAGAGAGAGAGAACCTCTTCTCAAGCAATGTCTAACCCCAATTATGGAATTGCTTATTAATAATATCAAATATTTAAACTTTTTCCAATAAATGTATAGATTATTTGCTTGCTCCAACTAGATTGATAATCTATCAAACACACACATATTTTCTCCTTTTTCATCACATTGTTATGTCTTGCAAGCTTCTTCTTCTTCTTTTTCGTATTCTTCTTCCTCTTCTGAATGACCTGAACCCTTTCATTCCATTTATAGATGACATCACCTGCACAGTTTTTAACCGTTTATCCGGATTGCGTACTATTCTGTCAACCACAAGGCGAACCTTTTCCTGTTTATGAGCGATTGGCAAGAAAGTGTAGTACAGTACTTGACAGTCTCATGAATACACGAGAGTTCCAGGTAATTCCATATCTTTCATAGTTATTCAAAAAATGATTTATTTTCTTTTTCCTTCTCTCTCACTCTTCTTACGATGACGTATATCACCGAATCATCTGAAATTGCTTTTTGATAATCACTTTCTCTTTTGGGTGGTGTTTAGAGACTCAAGAAAAGATGCACATGCTTATGCCGTAATTAGAATTTTGTAGTTCAAAGTTCTAGCTAGCTTCACGTGATTCACGTGAAATCATCATTTCATGATTACAGACGCTGTTGATCCGGTTGTGTTTGAACTAAACATTTCAAATAAAACAACACAAAATATTTGAGTTGTTTCGAAATATTAAAACATCAAGAGTAATAGAAAGCGAAAGTTGGGAGGAGAGTAGGTGTGTCTTAGACAGATAGAGAGAGAGGAAAAGGAGGAGCGAGTTAGAGAGAGGCAAGGTATACAAACGAAAAGGGTTTTTCCTATTTGTTATCAACTTTGCTAACGATGGATATCTCAATGAGTAAGTCTAATGAGTGGTAGGCAGGAAGCGGTTTTCGGTGATGAAAGCTACAGATGAATCAGCTTTACATTTTTGGAATTACCATGAAGAGAATGATTACGAGTCATTAAAGTACAAAGTAACTCTTACAAGATGCTCTTGATATGGTGTGGTGTGTAGTTAGTAGTAGTGATGAGTCTAATAAGATTCTCAACCTTTGAAAGCAATCATAATGATATGATGTTGAACTATGAAGGAATGTGTTATCGCTATTCAAATTGCGCTTATAACAATCTCAGATAATCATCGAATGGTTCTTGTCTACCCTTGTCCAAATAACTCGGTAATGAACAAACCGCCTACAAAGGAGTTAGTCATCTATTTTAAATTCTTCACTTCTATTTTTGGAACTACACTTTATCATTTTGAAAGATAAAAATGGCTTATTAAGAGGATACAGTAGTGATTTCCTCACAGTTCGAGGGGTTTCTCTCTCTCCCCTCTATCATCACTATATGTTGTTCACGTGATTTCCGGTGGAAATTTTAAGAATATAAGCATCGATGCTATCAGTTCTCGACCAACTCCTTCTCAGCTCTCAACCAGTCAACTCTTCTGAGCTTTTTCTTGATTCTCTTCTTTCTGTCTATTATTTTCATATAGTTATACATTGGACATGCCTTGCCTTTAAACTAGACTCTGGTGTTCATTCAATTCTAATCTTTCCATTATAGGAACGCCGTGTTCTACATCTAAATCTTAATTCACCTAACAGTAATACTTGTCTACGTAAAGCTCTTGAATATACTGCTACAGGAGAACTTAACTTCCAAGACTGCACCATTGAACAGGTATGTTACAGTCCATCCCTTACCCACACACACACACACAAACCATATACACACACCATATACTCCTAACCACCTACATACATGCACCTTATATGTTTAAGTGTAAAGGAATCCTCTTGAAATGTATGATAAAGTACATTATTCAAGAAATATTAAATTTCCTAATGTTTAAACTAGACCTCTTCATTTCCTTATCAAGATATTTCTTACTAAACGACCACAAAACGCCTCTTCTCCCAAACATTTCTCTTACTGACATAAAAACTTCGACACTAACTAATATTTATTTCAGATGACTTCACTCGTTGAGGAGTTAGATATGAACGATCTTCGAAATAAAATGAAAATTCCGGCTCCACAGCCTGGTATACCAGCATCTATGATACCATATCATCATGCATATGATCTTGCAGTTGCCTTACCAGCTTTCTTTACCAATCCCACCATAGGACATAATCATCAACAACAGTTAAGCATTCTCAATGCTCTTCAATGCTATTATGCCTATCAAATCGTAAGACAGATTCATCTTGTTAACTATATGTATATCTTTCCTTATTTAGTTACTGAAAAACAATGGAGCACCAAGTGTCGATCTAGTTACTGAAGACAAGGTAACGAAAAGGAAATCACGAGACCGTAAGCCTTCTAACTCCGCTGACGTTGACGAGCCATATGATAATATGGGCGACGTGATAATTCCAAGTACAGATAACGAGGGTAAATATTTTTTATTCGGAATAATTAACTTTTTTTTGTTTTTGTAGGATGGTGTCGAAACAAAAAATACATTGAGAAGACTGAGACTGGCTTCATGTGTACTGTTTGTAAGAAAGTTTATGGAAGATATAACTCTGTGTCATACCATGTAACCATCTATCACAGAAATCCTCCCATCAAGTAAGCGTTCAGACAATCCAACCTCTCCTCATTCATATCCATTTCCAGATGCGACATTTCTGGATGTCAATTCACTACCCGAGAAGCTCGTTACATTCATTTCCACAAATACTACAGACATAGCATCCCCCTGCCAGTAACAATTGATCAAGGTACTTTGATCTATCTATACGAAACAGTTTTCTATGATTTATTCATTTTAGGAACTCGTAAGTGTCAGTACTGTCGTCATGTGGCGAAATCACCGGCAATGTTGGAAAAGCATATCAAACGACACGCCAACATTGATTTACACAAGTGAGTGTTCTTCTAGTAAAAAAGATCGTAAAAAGGGAAAGAGAAAGTCATTTTCGTTATCTTTACAAGTTTGAGTTTGTATAGTGAAATCTCTGTCCATTTCATGGAAAGACTTTCCCCTCTTATCTCTTTATTTTTTCGGTCTGTCCTCCTGCTATTGTTGAAGACAGACGAAAGTATTATCGAATTGATAATTGACTGTCTCTCTCTCTTTCTCTCTCTTTCTCTCTCTCTATAAAATCATTTCGAGAAAATAGAAATTATATGAAAATTTGATAAGCAATCATACGTCCACTAATGCTTATACTGTTCAGAAACGATGATTCTGATAGAACTCCGGGTCCAGAAGATGAATCATATGGAAGAGAACGAACTGTGTCTCAACTTGGAGCTGGTGTTGAAAGCATGGATGTCGATGTAACTACAACAAAGCCCAGAGCTCAAACTCTGTGAATATAATCGTCATAGTATCTACGACCTTATCACCTACATACCATCATAACGTTTATGCTTAAAAAAGTCATTCTGTTCTCACTTCCTCTAATGGCATAACCTTATACACTTTGATATCTGAAAACCCCTAATAGTATTTTTCAATTACTTTTTACGTCTTTCTGACTACACCGCTGTAAATAACTTATAACATATAATTAGTATTAGAATTTGTACATATTGTATACAAACCTCAACTTACTGCCGTTATAATGTGCATATAATTATTATTTTTCATTTTTTTTTTGTATTGAATATCAGTTGAACGATAAATGCCGCATAGAATTCCTATACATCAATGACTTTTCTTGTTTTTCGATGAACAACCGCTCATAGCGCCTCCAATTAGAAAATAAAAAGTTCCTCACGTCGAACATCACGTCATTCACGTGTTGAAAATATTCAAACGCAGCTTCTTGGTAAATAATCTCTTATCAATCTTTTTTTGTAACTATTTTTTCGTTCACCTTATCAAATCATGTGTTCAGATCTCTGTAAAAACAGAATATCCTCAATAGCTAGCAGACCATAAATGACTGATACGAATTGGCAATTGCTCACAAGAATCAAACAACCAAGACGAAAACTTTGGAAATCATGTGAGCTTCGAAGTATTGTTTCAATGATTCAACCGAAACCTGAACAACATGAGGGCGAGATAGTGGGTGATATGGGAAAAGCACAAAGTACAGCAATATTGGAACATATTTATTGGCGTCAAAGGAACATGACAAATTACTAAAACAAATAATAATAAAATTATAGTAAATGGAATTGTGATTCAACAAATCAACAAATAAGCTTATTTGTTCTTTCCTCCACGCTCCTTCACTTGAACCGTTACTAATGAATGATTGTTCAGATTGTAGAACGCCAGACTTGACTGGTCTTTTAAGAAGAAACCCTGTAAAGTGATAGCTTGAGTAAACGCATTGAACAATCATTACTTACATCGAAGTTTAGTTTTTGCTTGGCTATTGGCATGTTTGTCAGTTCTTGAATTCTTTGCTTCAGTTCTCCTATCTGCAAAAATTGGATAATACACGTGTTCTTAAAGAACAAAGTCTTACGGAGTTTGTGATATCTATTTGCAGGGCTATGATATTTCCGTCAAAGCCGAGATCAGGAGCTTTAGGAAGCTGGATGCGGAGATCTACGTTACCAGAAACTTTCTCGAGCCAAGAACTTTCAGGTTCTAGGTCTTCTTCAGTTTTTTGCCGTTTAGCTGGTGGACCGTCATTCATCTATGGAAACAGTTAACAACAAGAATATACTAAACAATTACCGGTGGAGGTGCATGTGTTGGTGCGGGAATTGATGCTTGTGGACGAGGTACAGGAGCTCGTTGAGGTATGGGGATAGCGGAAGCGCTTGGTGGAGGCTGAAAAGGAGCATCATGAATCTCAAAAAAATGTTCTGTCATACAGGTTTAGGAATAGGCTGAGCACCGATTCGTTCTTTTGATGGATCGGGAATATAACCGTGTTGACGTTGAATTTCATGGATCTGTTGATCTGCAAACAAAGACAATGAAATCAATTCTTAACTGATATCTACCTAGAGTGACTTGATTTTGGACACGTTGAGTGTGCATTTCACGAGTCTCTTCAGATCCATCCCAAATATGCTGAGAAAAGAAACACATATAAATATAGGTCGTGGAGTTCTTACTTTAGTATTAATAGGAGCTTGTTCCTCTTCACCCAATTTTCGTCCAATGACTGTCTGTTCTGCTCCAGCAGCTCCAACACCGAAAATATCGGAACGACGTTCGGCGAAGCTGAGAGAAAAAAAAGTTAAGATTTGTACCCAATATGCGAATATTACTTTCCAAGATTACGACTGATATCAGCTCCAGGAGCAAGCACAGGTTCATCGCTAGCACGATCACTGGCAAAGCGATCTCTACCCTCGAGATATTGTGAATCGACGGTATTGTATCTATAAGCTCGTTGAATAGAAACACTAAGTGAACACTATTTATATACCTGACATGTTCTTCCAATTTGTCTGTTGGAACTCTTTCTCCAGTAAGAGGAGATATAAGATATTTCTCTCCAGCACGTTTCTGTTTGTGCATAGCTGTAAACGATTGCAAGTAAGAAGGAACAATATTCATATGACTCACTCTTTGGATCGTAATCTCTGACGATGATATCCTTCTGCTTTGAAGGTGGGAGAGGAGCAGCGAATTCTGTAGGTGTTGGGCGCATGACTTCTGGTTGATGAGACTAAAAAGAATTGTGAAAGAGATAGATAGGTTAATAACGTACATCCGACTTGTGCTCATCATCGTCACTGTCTGATTCTTCCATGTCCATTTCAACTGCTTCACCAGCAGTCTTATTCATTTCTTGTCTCTGTTCCAAGAGGATTCTAGCACCAACATCTGATGGGGTGCAAAGAGCAGGAAGGTTAGCTGAAACAAAAGTTGAGGAAAAACAGGAGAAAACAGATCTACCATTATCACCAGGTTGGAAGTCAACAGTCTGAACAACAACGAAATCATGCCAATCGATGGCAGCATAAGCCAATCGTTCCTGAGGAGACAAACGAAATATAAAAGAGAATAATATGAAGCTATTACCTTCTCAGCTTCTTTCTCTTCCTTATCTTTGAGAGTTTTCTGATGTTTTTCCCAGGCAACACGATATTTTATATCTTCCATCAACCTTTTGTTGCTGCTTTTCTCTGTGGAGAGAGTATCAAGGATATTGTTAGGAGGAATGATAACCTGAATTAAGAATTCAAAAATATTTCGAATCAACTCTCTCCCTCTCACCTTTGTATACTGTTCAACCAATTTAGTAAAATAACTGAAATTGGAATGGGCCGGTTTCAAGAAATCAAACTGATAGTTTCTTGCCTCACGGGTCATGACTTGTGTGAGGAACTGTCTTCCGTTCTTAGCGACGAAAATCGCAGTTGTTCTAATTAAATCCCTTCAAACATAAATATAAATAAAAAGTTTGAGATAGAAAGGATTTACAAGTCGAAAGCGTTGATAGTTGCAGGATCAGCACTGAACTCAAACGCTGGTGGAGGTTTGGTAGGGACAAACTCAGCCTTCTTGATGGCTTCCTTAACGGCATCAGGAACGATTGGCTTAGGAACGTAAGTTTCTACTTTACCCTCTTGACAATCTCTAATCTGTATGACAAGAATAAGATTAAGTTAATGGAATAGATGCATGTTAATCACCTTGAGACGATAATAAGCGTGGTATGGATCTGTAGGACTCAAGAAACTGAATTTGGCACTGTTCGCTTCTTTTTCACAGATTCTGTTCTCGAATGCAACTCCATTTCTAGCCACGAAAGATGCAGTTTTATCAACGACGGCTCAAAAGGAAGAAGTTAGAGGAAGTAAGGAGGGATGTTTTGATACCTCTGATATCTGGGGGAGGAAAGATAAGACCAATGATGCTTTTCCCACTGAGAGAAGGCTCATTGTTCATGGAGTCTTCTTCCCGTTTAGAAACTACCGGAGCCAACACCATTTTGATGGTCTAAACTTGATTAGTGTTCAATAATATACAAATAAACATAAATTAACGCAATATAAAGCTGCTCAAGATATTTAAACGAAAAAACTCTGAGTACGCCAAAGACGGCCTTGCGCATTTCGAGTGTGGTGGCGCTTTTGAGAGTATTCATTTGAATTAGACAGCTTCTCAGTTTTTTTTTCATTTTCTGGGTATGAAATTGGATTAGAGTAACAAAAAATGGATAGAAAGCTTAAATCTGATGAACAATGGTTCATATCACCCAAAATTATTTTGAAAGATTTTTTAGAAGAGGCATGGCAAGCAGATCTCAACTTGCGAAGTAAGTTTTTGCGAAGCTGATGACTGACGAAGATTTCTCTTCAGATTCCCTTGGAAGACAAGCTTTGAATGTGCTGGTGAAAGAAGAAGAGTATCATCCAATCCAATTGCAACATGACTTCGCCAAATATACTGGTTGCTCTGACAAAGCTGCGAAACTTATTTTTGAGAGCAATATATCGTGAGTGATGGTCTAGTAAAGCTCCAGTGTACATTTGTCTACTCAGGATCGACAATTTACTAGATGGAGACACTACAACAAAGTCTTACGATGATGATATGCAAGAAGATATACAAGCTAATCTAAGGCCGGACAAAATCCGAGTTCACAGGTTTCGTTTCGGAAATGTCTCTCGTTGTTACAGTCTCCCGTTTCAGTTACGTAGCCAACCATTGGAAGACAATGCAAAACCCTCAGAAGAAGTCAAATTATCTGAGAACCATGAAATACGATAAATATGAAGATTATGCAGCAGGGGTAAGCGACTCTCACGGTGTCTCTGATTTGAATTTGAATTTCAGCTAAGAAGAGAAATGCCTGTGTTTAATCATTTGTGCAGCAAGGATATAGTTATTACTGTCAGTGCTCTCGTTCCTAATAATAAAATTTTATCCCACGCAGAGAGTCGGAGCAGCCGAATCGTAAGTTCCATCCGTTCACTCAGTTTCTGAACTGACTTTCAGATGCAACCCAGTTCTAAATTTATCCTACGAGGAGACAGTACTTTAGAAAGTTTGAAAAAACAGCTTGTGAGTTGTTTAGTCCTTGTTCGATCGTTACTTGTAGCGTTTCAGAAATGTGTTAGTGATATGATTGTCCCATTAGAAGAGGGGAAAGAGTTGGAGCCCTATGATATGCAATATTCGACTATGATGCAGTACCCTTCCTCCTTCATTTTTATAGATGACTGTTTTTATGTTGATTTATCTAATCCTGCATGTGAGGATATCTCTGAGTTAGTTGACTCATCCTCTATATGTCAAATCTTCTTATTTCTAGACCAATACGAGAATTCATGGCCAGGAAGAAATGTTTTGACAAAGTTACTCATAAACCTATGGCTGGAGTTAAAATAATTGATTTAAAACTAAGGTGTGTTGTCTGATATGTATCTTCAAGCTGTGATTGTTTCAGACTTGGTCAACCCTATGTATTCCAACATTCGGGTACATGTGAACACCTTCTGATATTCCACGATCTCCGTTTGTTGCATAAGTCTGATGAGCAGGTATGGGTTATGAAAACTTTGTTCATATCAATGTCTCTTCTAGGACATTAATAAGTATCCTTTATTAGCCTATGAGAAAGGTGGTGATGCGAGATGTGCAGGATGCAAGCAGAACTACGCCACGTATGTCCTCGATTTTTAAATTTATGCAATTGAGCTTTTAGGTATCGCGTGGAAGAGTGTGAGCGTCTACCTGCCCCGTCTGTGCTATTCTGCGATGAATGTTTCGCAGAGTTCAACTTCTCTCATGGAGTCAAAATTGGATCATTCCGAGCTTACCCTTACTATCAGATCAATAGAATTCTATTTGTTTAATACATCTTGGTACCTTTTCATTTTGTTTATTTTTGTAAATAGTCATTATACATGCTGATGTTGTGTCCATTCAAAAAGACTTTTTATAACTCATAGTCGTTCACTCAAGGCAATCGTAATGCGTTCACATATCTCCATCAGCTTTTGAGACTCAACAGTTGAGATATCTTTTCAGATGTTCTCGAACGATGACCCCATAATTGTGAATGAGTTGATTCTCATCCAATATCCTGGGATAATCAAGAATCTTGAGAAAGGTTTAGAAACCATGGGTGGTTTAGCCCAAATGAGCCAAGTTAGTTTCTTCTTGAGAAACACCTTCCGATAAGGTTAGATCTTCAGAATCACTTTTCTGGTCGAACTATTGAACTAAGACACACACCTGATAATCCGTATACGAGTTGTTTAATAGCTGATAGAAAAATGGATTCGAAGGTTCAGTCATTCTAATGAGGCATCTTTCATCTCTCTTCTGTAGATTACTTCTGGAACATTAAGACTAGTTTTGAAAGTACGGAGGAAGAAGAAGAATCCCAACCACGTGGAAAGTCACTGTCTAGGTTTAGTACGTTTGCGATGACTTCTTTGTAGCTCAACGTTTGCTTTAAGGTAACTATGGTGTATGATTTCGACTCCATGTGTGATTTCCAATATTTACCTGTAAAGAAAAGACTTAACACAGATATATATGAAGACTTGATTCCGAGACTCATTCCAACAGATCTACCTTCTGCTTTATGCTGGTGAGCTCGAATTGAGTTAACTACTGAAACTCACTGATCTATTGTAGGTGGGAACGACAAGATAAAACCCCAGGATATACGCAACTATTCTTGCCTCCTTATCAGTTCAGTCGGTATGCATGTTTACGGGGTTCTCTTGTTGATAGAAAGTGTTTCTAGATACACTACGCCTTCGAGTAAAATACTACACAGAGAAACTGATCTCAGCGTAGACAAGACGAAAAAGAAAATTGGGCACGGTCAAAGTATGTTTGAAAACATTGAAAGTCCTCAATCACATATTTTTCTAGATTTGCGTGTGGAGAGAAAAGCTTTGTCTATCAATGTCCATGCAGAGGACGATTTTCCCAAAGAGCCAACTGAAGATGCAATCAACGACGCCAATTTCAGGTAAGCTATAAGTTCATTCACATTCGATTATCTTGTAAGTTCAGATGTAAGAATGAAGAGCCACACAAGATTCTGGAGCGGATATTCAGTGAACGACCTATGTGGACTCGTGTTGCCATACAGTATAAGTCATCCCTCGATGATAACCTCATAAAGTTTGGAATACTTTTTGATTCCAAGTCTTATCATTTGCAGGTCACTTTTACAAAAATATGCCTTTTACATAGCCTCTGGACCTTGGGGTCGGTTATGGTGTAAGTTTGGCTATGATCCAAGAACTGATCCGCTAGCTAAACGTTATCAAAGTTTGATGGTTACATTCCGGTGTGCGCTCTTTAATCTCGAAAATCTCATTTATAACCTGACAGACAACATACTAAGATTCCGGAGAGACAGCGGTTGAAAGTTTCGACTGAACGATCTGGATTCTCTGAAATTGAACCTATAAATTACGTTTACCAACCAGGTACTAGTCCTATCGAGAACGTGTAGGAGAACAATTTCCTGCTTAGGTAAACTACCCCGAGTTCGTCAAATGTGGTACAGTCTATGCGACATTGAGTTGCCACTAACTGAGCTTTTGCTGAAAAAAGATTACAGTAATGCCTCTGATGTTGGTACGAAAGGCTGGATCAACAGCGTAAGAAAATTTAAAAGAAAATTGTAATTTCTACTGTTCAGGAAGCTCTCGAAGAGTTACGTGAGTTGGTCAAAGAAGACGTGCAGAAAACTAGTAAAGAACTTGACATTGTTGAAGATCAAGAACTAAGCGACGACATGTAAAAACTGCTTTATTATTAATTTTTCAACAACTGATATATTATATCATAAACTTCATTCATATCCGAGAATTGGTGACAACCACCTCTCAGTTTCTTCTTCTGTCCAATTTCTTCTTCGCGCATAATCAACAACTTGATCTTTGTCTATCTTTCCGACCACGAAATATTCACTCTTGGGATTTGCAAAACAAAGAGCGGAGACTGAAGCTGCTGGCAACATAGCCAAGTGCTCAGTTAAAACAAGTCCCAAGTCAGTAGGCTAAGAAACAGAAAATTCTTGAAACTCTCAAAGAATAAGTTACCTGTAATAAGTCCCATAGTGTGCGTTTTTCATTATGATCAGGTTGTGTTGGATATCCAGGAGCTGGTCTGATACCCTCGTATTTAATAGAAAGGAGATCCTCAGGTGCTAAGTCCTACAATAAATTACCTTCTTCAAACATCAAAATCAAACAATATACCTCATTTTTAGAGTAACCCCAAGTTTCGATACGAATTTGGCGATGAAGATATTCAGCAAAAGCTTCAGCCAATCTGTCGGCCAAAGCCTGAACGAATTGTTGTTTTTCCAAAAAAAATTCAAAAATCCTACCTTGACCATGATACTGTGATAATCATCATGATCTTTCTCGAGCTGAGCACAGTATTTCTCAGCTCCTAAACCAGCGGTACAAGCAAACATTCCAATATAATCTTCAGCTTTTCCTACAAACAGATTCTTATGAGATTTCTAAAAGAAACGAATCACCATTGTTGAGAGGCTTTATGAAGTCACTAATACATAGATGAGGCTGATCATGTTCTCTGCCTGACTGTTGTCTTAATCCAAAGAAAGTCGCCTTCTTCTCACCATTTTCGTACAACTAAAGATGCATGTGTACTTGATGTAACATGAAAAAGTCTAAACCTCTATGTCGTCCCCAACAGATCCAGCTTCATAAAAGCCAAGAACTGCATTTGCTATGAGTATTTTTTCGTCAATAATTTTTTTGAGCCACACTTGTGCATCCTGAGAATAAAACGTAAAACACTCTTTCCAACTACTTATATACATCAAACACTTTCTTGGCTTCCTCACCCACATCTGCATCGTTGAAAATTCGAGGGTAAGATCTGAACAATATGCATTACAACATGAATAAAACAATAGTTTACCGGTTGGGATATTTACCACGTAATTGCCAAATATCGAAGAATGGCTTCCAATCAATGTATGGAATGAGGATGTTCAGATCCAGCTCTTTAATCTCTCGACGTCCAACAAATTGCGGCTTTGCTGTAAGTAAGGTAATTTGGGCCAGTTATAAGGTATGTTGATACTTGGTGTGAAGCTTTCCCATGTTATTTTCAATTTCTTGCCACGAGCTGCATCAAGAGCAGTGAATCTTCTGTCTTTAACAGAGTCAAGGTATTCTTGTCTGACCTAGATTGGTAAATGTGAGTTTAGATTAAAATTTTGTTTTTTACCTCTTCGTATTCTTCACGTGTGTCATTAATGAACTCCTCACGACATGCCAGATCGGATAATGAAGAGCACTAAAACTCGAATAGAATCTATGTAAATTTTGATTTCCCTACCACAACAACAGATTTACTAGCATCCAAACAATGCACCACGGGGAAACTATAACGTGGAGCGATCTTGACAGCTGTATGAGTTTTTGAGGTTGTAGCTCCACCTAAGAACATTTATGATAAGACTGAGAGAAAAACATGAAAAATACCGATCAAGAGAGGTATTTTCATGCCCAAACGTTGCATTTCTTTTGCTACGTGAACCATTTCATCAAGAGATGGAGTGATCAAACCAGAACATCCAACAAAGTCTGAAACGTCTGATTATTTCGATTCCCTGCTAGTGAATTCACCTGCTTTATGTTCAACGACAGCCTTCATGATGTTCTCACAAGGAACCATAACACCCATATCGATGACCTGTAAAGTTGAGTAGATGAATGGAACATGTATCAAATTTACCTTGAAGTTATTACAACCCAAAACAACAGCGACAATATTCTTGCCAATGTCGTGGACATCTCCTTTCACAGTAGCGAGTACAACTGTTCCTTGGTATGGACTCTACAAATTGCACAAAACTAAAGAACAGAAAAAGCGGAATTTTACCTCATCTTCGGCTAGACCTAGTAACTTAATGTTTTCTTCTCTTTCTTTATCCATGAACGGAATGAGATGGGCTACAGCTTTTTTCATAACACGAGCAGACTTAATAACCTAAAACTATCAGAAAGGTTAGTTGTTAATAATTTCTACAAACTTGAGGCAAGAACATTTTTCCTGCTCCGAACAGTTCTCCAACGACAGACATACCGTCCATCAAAGGTCTCTCAATAACGTTCAAAGGCCTAGGGTACTTGTCTGTATTTAGTCTAGCTTCTTCGGTGTCTTCTACGACATATGCATCAACCCCCTGCAATTACTTGTTGAAAACGAAGCTTCTTGAAATTCCTACCTTGACCAAAGCATACTTCAATCGTTCTTCGACATTGAAACTTCTCCATTCCTCTTCTTGCTCTTGTTTCTTGTCTCCCTTAACGGTTACTTGTTAACATCATGAAATGAGTTTTTCATTGTCAAACCTTCTTCAATCCAGCAGCTAAAACCAACATCTTCTCCGTGGCATCTGGATCTCTGTTGAAAATAAGATCTTCACAGAGTTGCAAGAGTTCCTGAGAAGATATTTGACTGTTAAAGCTGAGTGATATATCTTTTACCTTATCGATGTCTGTATACAAAGGTAAAGCACCGGCATTTACAATTCCCATGTCCAAACCAGCATCAATAGCATAGTAAAGAAAAACGGAGTGCATAGCTTCACGTACAGCCTGTCAGATAATATTATAAAACAGAATGGTATAACTCGATACCTCCATTCCTCTGAACGAAAAAGATACATTGGAAACTCCACCAGATACATGACATCCTGGAAGATTTTCCTGGAAAGAGATTTTGAGAATGCATCTTAACTGCTTATCTTACTCTGATTTGACGGCAGGCATCGATGAAATAAACGGCATAGTCAGAATGTTCCTCCATTCCTGTTCCGATGGTTAGAATGTTGGGATCGAAGATGATATCACATGGATTGAAGCCTACTACTTCGGTTAAAATCCTAATAAGGAATGATAAACGTTAGCTTGATTTGTAAATAAGTACCTGTAACTGCGCTCACAAATTTCAAATTTGCGCTCTGTTTCGGCGGCTTGTCCTTCTTCATCGAAGGCCATGACTACCACAGCAGCTCCATATCTCTTAACTAGACGAGCCTTCTTAATGAAAGCTTCTTCTCCTTCTTTCAGAGAGATTGAGTTGACAACACATTTTCCCTGATACGACTCTAGTCCAGCAATAATAACGGAGAAATCCGAAGAGTCGATGCAAACAGGTACCTTCAATATTATGGTTAAAAATAACAAGACGAATGGATAGAACCTTTGCAACGTCAGGCTCAGTGGTGAAAAGGCGGAGCAACTTGCTCATGGCATAGGGACCATCAAGTAAACCGTCATCCATATTTACATCAAGTATTTGTGCTCCATTTTCTACTTGGCTACGAGCAATGTCTACTGCTGTCTGAAAGAGAGAAAACGGTTTATCTGTTCTGTCACTAACTAACGTACTTCATAGTTTTCATTTTTGATTAAGTTACAGAAACGTCGAGATCCAGCGACGTTACATCGTTCTCCGATATTGATAAAGTTACTATGAGGGCCAACAGTCATGGGCTCCAACCCAGAGAGAAGCATAAGCCCTTCGTGAGGATTTGGAGGTGGAACACGAGGCTTAACACCTTTCACTGCATTGTACATAGCTCTGATGTGATCTGGGGTAGTACCACAACACCCTCCAACAATATTAATCTGAACAAGTCACAACATTCGAGAGTATAAAATTTTTAAGATTACTAGTCCATCCTCAGCAAACTGTCTCAAAACTTCGGCCATTTCTTCAGGAGTTTCATCGTATCCTCCGAGAGCATTAGGTAAACCTAAAACCAACGCATATGATTACAATTGGATTATGAATATAGCTATGCACAACCGCGTAGTTTCAAGTTTATGAGCAAAATGATTTCATTAGCACCGTGCACGGTTCACGTGAGCAGAAATTAGCATAAAAAGCGCGAAAAAATTCAAATTCTACCTGCATTGGGGTAACAAAGAATCAAAGTATCGGAGAAGTTTGACATTGCTTCAATGAACTGTCTCATATCCTTAGCTCCCAGAGCACAATTCAATCCAACAGCGACTGGCTCTCCCTGAAAACTTCCCCATATACCATGACTAATTAAGAAATGTTACTTGTTTAGTAGAAACTAAGAAAGCTTCTCCTGTTTGTCCGGACAAAGTTCTTCCAGACATATCAACGATGGTACCAGAAAGGAACACAGGTATTTCCATAACCTCTGAAAAGTGAAAATGAGAGTTGTTGCAGATTACCAGCTTACCTTCATCTTCGAATATTTGTCTGATAGCGAACAAAGCTGCTTTAGCATTGGCTGAATCGAAAACTGTCTCAACTAACAGAACATCTACACCGCCCTTCATTAAAGCTCTGGCTTGTTCAGCATAAGCAGTCACCAATTCTTGGAAAGCTGTAATAATATAGTTCGAATGGTTCTACGAAAAGCTTCAAACTCACTGATATTTCTGAACTCAGGCTTTTCGACTGATGGAGAAATAGACAAGGTCTTGTTGGTTGGTCCAATGGCTCCGCATACGAAACATCGTCGTCCTAGCATAAGTAAGTAGATGATGTGTGTTACTGTGAGATTTGTTACCTGTTTCCTTTTCAACATCTTCACAAGCTCTCTTAGCCACTAAAGCTGACTGGTAGTTGATGTCATAAACCAAATTCTCACAATCATAATCAGCCTGCAAATGACAGAGATCGGAAAGTCTAATTGATATGTCTCATTTCGGGAAAAAACAATTCCACGTTTTTCTTGAGACAATTCGAGAAGAGAACACGCCGTTTCTTATCAGAAATAGTTCATAAATCTTATCAAATTGATCTTTGCGCGACATTTGCCTATCTTTTATGGTTTTCATGAAATTACATTACGACACTTTGATGGTTAAGAGAGACAAAGTATGAAACTTTCTCCATTACCCCATCACCTTTATCAATCACCGAAAATGATCTTACTTGAGCAATTGTTGTGCCAGAGAAGGTATTTGTTTCTACGAAGTCAGCACCTGCTTCCAAGTAAAGCTTATGAATCTAAACCGAACATGACATTGCAACGAAAATCAACCGTCTACTCACTTTATAGATGATGTCTGGTCGAGTGATCGACAACAAATCATTGTTACCCTTCAAAGGTTTTCCGTGATCCTTCAGAAGCTATAAACCAAGACGTGTAAGAAATAAAAGGTAATACAAAACCGAACCTCTCCTCTGAAGTCTTCTTCTTCAAGGTGTTCTCTTTGAATCATAGTACCCATAGCACCATCAATTAGAAGCACCCGTTCTGCGGCAAGAGCCGCGATTTCTTCAAAAGCCTTGCTTTTCACCATTTCCTGCAAATGTGAAGTTAAGTAAAAGAAAAACGCAGACTATCAGAAATGATGACGATTATCAACTGCGAAGTAAGTCAGCAACACTGGAAACTACATAATTGTTTTTTAATCAATCAGTCAACGCCAAATGATCATCACTACATACGCATCAAATGAATAGGAGCAGAAAGAGAGAAAATGGGAAAACCTTGGTAACTCTCTTGCGCACGTGGCCCAAGTAAGATGACCGCGAGAGATCAACTCTCGAGTAAACCTCGTTTTCTTTTTACTATCTCTAATCTCACGAATTATAGATAAGGGAAAAACAAACGAAAAAAATGAAAATAAAAGAGAAGTTGATAGAGAACCCCCTCACCAAGACACTAACGGTAACAGTTATGAATTGAATGGATTGCTGAGCAAGTTGGTAATATGAAGGTTGGTTCGAACATCTGTGCTTGAAACGTACTAAGCGTTTTGTGAATACAAGGACACAGACAGCAAATCGAACGATAGCGATGTGATATCGCCATATATGACTATGGCACTAAACTTTGCACCCAACCCACCAGAAACTTTTCCAACTTTTTTGAAGTTAGAAAATGTGATAAGGGGGAAAACCCATGAAGCAATCCCAAAAAACACGAGAGGAAGTAGTTAAGGAAAGTAGGAAAGATGATGCAAACCTCTAGTGAAGTTGCTATAGACGAAATGATAAAGACGTGTACGTTAATGAATTGATAGAACGAAAATATACAAATATGGTCATTTATGAGTGTCGTCATATCATTACCATCGTCCACGTTGACCCAGAACGACGATACTCAGCTAAGTCAACGACCGGTTTTGAAGAATTGATGATTATCTTCATATCCTTGTACTTTTAAAAGATTTTAATGAAGACACACATAAAAAAAGAAGTTATTCCAGCCTTATCAACAGTTCTCAATTTACGCAATTGATTGTGCACGTGATTGCCATGCGAATGGACCGGAAACCATTGCGACCGAACTGTCTATGCACGTGTGCAAAATACAAAAGGATTTGGATACTGTACATCTTTGCAGAATACGCAATCTCCCATAATTAATTTATCCCAATTAGAATGGCTTCTTATTTCATTCTCCTTTTTTTCTTTTTTTTTGTCCAGGAGCTAATACTCTTCTCATTTCAGCTTTCACCTCTCTGCCTCCTTTTCTGTATGGATTTATCCGGACTCAGCATATCATTCGTTCTCTCAACCAGCTACATCTCTACAGAGATCTCATATCTCTCACACCCTCTGTGTCACTCTTCGCAGCCTTTTTTGTCTTCAAATAGATTCTCACTGAATCCCATGCCTTCATTTGGTCATAACAAAAGAAAATATTTCGTTTAGTAGTTCGTGGATGTTTGTGTTGAGGAAAAATTATGTTTTCATGTTTTTGACATTTGACATTTGAGCTCAGCCCAATAAGGATTGTGAAGAAGTATTCGTCAAAAATTTGACTATATTTGGATAGTATTTTGGATGGTTGAAGGCTAAAGGAAAACAATAATTTTCTCAGAACAATTATATGGTCTCTGAGATTTGTCTGTTTCCGTTTATTGGAGAGCTCCGTAGGATTTGGGGTGTCCGTTGAAGTTGTGCCAGCTTCAGCTGGAACTACATGGGGGGAAAGTTGAACGATGAACTTCTATATATGTGTATGTGTGTGTGTCTGTGTGTTTTGTCTAATTACAAATATAACCTCCAGTTGAAGACAATGCCTTCTGATGACAATTCCGAACATGAAGTACTTTACCTTTGCCAATCTCTCTAGCATCTACTCATTCTTTCTTCTAAGCAATTACATATTCGAACTTATCGACTTCAGAGTTCTTCACCCCAGATTTACTGGGTTTTCGTTTGCTGAACTCTCCTTTGTATATATAATTGGTGATTCAATAGTATTCGGAGACTAAGGATTGGACTATGGCTAAGTCAAATTGAGCTCATCCAGGCAGAAGCTTTATCTTTATCTCAGACATTTCCATCCTTCTTATGCTCTTCGCGAGTTCTTTCTCTTCCTGTCTCCCCTCTCTCTCCTTCCAATGTTTTTCTCTTTATATTTCTCTTCATTTTCTGTCAATCTCTTTCCCGTTTGTCGTTCATTTGACGAAGACATTGAACTACAGCATATTCTTCTTCTTCTTCTTCCTTTTTTAAGACTTGCTTGGATCAATGGGTGACTGTGCTATGCATTGGCAATATCGTTGTGTATATGTATGTGTACCTTCGCACACACACACACATACACACACTGACATACACACATAGCCAGAAGAGAAGCTGGTGCGACAGCTTTAGCCCTTCCCCAAAAGTAAAATGAGAATGATGTGGATAGTGTGGTTATGGAAGAGAGTACATACAAAGCTAAGACTTCGTTCGAACCCCATGAGTGAAAGTTGTCAGATGCTACATCAGTTCTTAAAACTCAGTCAGTTTTGGTGTTTTTCCCGTTATCAAAGTATCTTTAAACTCTATCTTGTTCACAGCTTTGCTTTTTGTGCTCTATTTCGTTACCTTTTATGGATGAGAAGAGAACATCAATTGGATGTGGCCATCTGGGGCTCGTTTATTCTGTCAACTTCTCTCACATTACTATTTTTGGCAGTATGAATACATTCGTTCATGAACTTTACCTATTTGGCATATTCATTTACACATATTTTAATGTGAATGATGTTTGTCTGTGTTTTAAAAAAAGGTTTTTGTCTAGCCTTACCTTTCCCTTCCTCTCTCTCTCCTATCCAGCCGTACTCTCTACTCACTCAAAACTCATTTTAATTGATGTCTGCGCTTTGGGTGTGTGTGTGCGTTCCCACCCCCTCCTCCTTCTCCACCCATGCTCATCTGCCATTCAGATGATGATGATTATGATTTAGGTGAATGAAGTATAAAAAAAACTTTTTTTTTCATTTCCATCTCAAACACATTCTTCCTCTTAAATCGTTCAATTTCTCCTTCTCTGTCTCTCTTTTCTTCTCAAATTCTTTTTCCTCTTTCCTCATTGATTTTCCAATTGACCACTCTTTAGATTATTCCACAAAGGTAAGTGCAGAGTATGTACAACTCAGTTCTTCAAACTATTAATGTTGAAATTATTGTCTTCGAATACTTACCTTTCTTTTCTCTCACAGCTCATTGCATATGCCTATATATGGAGGGAGAGAGAGAGGCAGCTTGTCTGCTTTTCTCACCTGATGAAGTAATCTCAGAGGATCGTCTGGATCTTATGAGCAGTCTGTCTATGATCCATCAACCCTTCCACACACCACACACACACACACAGCCACACACACACACACACCATATATATATATACGCTAGAATTTGCAAATATTCCGCTTCGCATTGGCTTTTCCTCCACTGCATTCAATTGCTCCTTATGAACCTTTGATACTTTTATTTTTATTTTTCAACCGTTTATTCACTTACGTTCTCCTTAAACTCTATGACTATGTTCTTCCATCTCCGGCAGCGTGACAACTTGAAATTGCCGATCAATGATGACCACAGTTGTATTGCAGTTGCATCATAGAAAATGCTAGACTTAACCGAAAGCAACTCAATATATGGAATCGGTTTTAAAAGTTGAAAAGCTGATAGAAAATGACTTAAACCAGCTTTGGAATCCAAGGAGAGTCTCAACCGCTATGTCTCCGATTTAAATGTCCATTTCCCGAGTGCCGAGTAATCAGTTAGTGAGTGCCAGCCTATAAAAGGTCTTTCAAGAGAACCTCTAAGGCTGTTCAAAGCCAATGAAGCTATGCGTTTAGGGATTTCGCTTTAACCAAAACGCTCCTGGCCATTGTCTCCTCATCTCCTCTCGTATCTCCCTCTTCAATTCGTTTTGAATCATTTTATGCATTTATAAGACTTTTTTTGCTTAGAATAATGAAACCATGTGCGTCATGTCTGAATTAACTAAACTAACTTCAGATGGCTCAAAGCAACACAAAGAGATAGAGAAAGAGAGAGAGAGAGAAACAGAAAGAGAGAGAGAGAGAAACAGAGAAAGAGAGAGAGAAAGAACACATCATAGCGCACCATGTTGCGGAAGCTTTTCCTTCTCCAACCTTCTTCACAACTTCATTCACTTCAATTATAATCATCTTATCTATCTGTATTACTATGTGTATAGTTTTCAATAACATTTTTCAAATTTGCCACATTGTCATCCCCTCATTAGCATATGGGCGACGCCGTTAAATGACAATTTCATTTCAAATTTTCATTTTTTATCGTTCTGACGTACCGAGAGCGGTTGTTTTTCGTGTTTAGCTCGTCTGTTCTATCGTCAATTGGAATTTCTTCTTCTTTTCTCTTTTTCTTTTTTTTTTTTTATAAAAAAAACCTTTTTAAACCTATTTTTACTGTTTTTTTTATCCTTGGTTGCGATCTTTGACGTTTCATGCTCACTATCTCTTCCAGTCAGGTTTAGGTTTCCTAAATTCTGACGGAAATGACAAACTAGAGGCCGGAGACCCTGTGTGAACTAGGTTGAGGCAAGCAGTGCTTCTGAAGTTGAATTCTAGTAAGTCAGCAAACCAGAAGCAGAAAAGGGAGTGGAAGAGAAACAAAACGAAATTATTTCGAGCCATCCATTCCCAATCTCGTTACTCTGCATACCCTTTTCTGGAAAGCTGCCTTTTCCAACTCTTGTTTCGTTTTGGTAAGCAATGACATCAGTTGGAATGAATGAGATATCCATTTCCTTTTACTGATATTTTCTTCTAAAAAGGTTTTTTATTCGTTTTGTCTCTAAATTTATTGGAGTCGTCGTCGTCTTTTTCCTGCGAACTCCAATGTGTCTCAACTCAAGGAGGTAGACACACTTCAAAGACATATGCCATATCAGTATTGCCTTGTAAAGCTTTAAGATAGAAATAAAAAAAAGTGGCTTTAACGTCTTTCTACTCTATCACTCCTTCTCTCTCTCTCTCTCTCTATCACTCAACCTCTCTCTATTCCATATCCGTTTAATTCGCATTCT